TTTCAAGAGGTTTGGCTTTTTCTTCATGGTTTGGCCTCTAGAACAATTTGGCATCTAAATTTGGGAACGTAATTTTTGGTCCATATTCATGTCAAAGTGGAACCCTGAAATATCTTATATAGACATAGGTCAAAACTTCCCGTTTTCATAACTTGGTCAAATCTCATCAGATTTTCAAGAGGTTTGTCTTTTTCTTTATGGTTTGGCCTCAAGAACAATTTGGCATCTAAATCTGGGAACGTAATTTTTGGTCCATATTCATGTCAAAGTGGAACCCTGAAATATCTTATATAGACATAGGTCAAAACTTCCCACCCCCATAACTTGGTCAAATCTCATCACATTTTCAAGAGGTTTGGCTTTTACTTCATGGTTTGGCCTCAAGAACAATTTGGCATCTAAATCTGGGAACATAATTTTTGGTCCATATTCATGTCAAAATGAAACCCTGAAATATCTTATATAGACATAGGTCAAAACTTCCCACCCCCATAACTTGGTCAAATCTCATCAGATTTTCAAGAGGTTTGGCTTTTTCTTCATGGTTTGGCCTCTAGAACAATTTGGCATCTAAATCTGGGAACATAATTTTTGGTCCATATTCATGTCAAAGTGGAACCCTGAAATATCTTATATAGACATAGGTCAAAACTTCCCACCCCCATAACTTGGTCAAATCTCATCACATTTTCAAGAGGTTTGTCTTTTTCTTCATGGTTTGGCCTCAAGAACAATTTGGCATCTAAATCTGGTAACATAATTTTTGGTCCATATTCATGTCAAAATGGAACCCTGAAATATCTAACATAGACATAGGTCAAAACTTTCCACCCCCATAACTTGGTCAAATCTCATCAGATTTTCAAGAGGTTTGGCTTTTTCTTCATGGTTTGGCCTCTAGAACAATTTGGCATCTAAATCTGGGAACATAATTTTTGGTCCATATTCATGTCAAAGTGGAACCCTGAAATATCTTATATAGACATAGGTCAAAACTTTCCACCCCCATAACTTGGTCAAATCTCATCAGATTTTCAAGAGGTTTGGCTTTTTCTTCATGGTTTGGCCTCTAGAACAATTTGGCATCTAAATCTGGGAACATAATTTTTGGTCCATATTCATGTCAAAATGAAACCCTGAAATATCTTATATAGACATAGGTCAAAACTTCCCACCCCTATAACTTGGTCAAATCTCATCAGATTTTCAAGAGGTTTGTATATTTGGTATTTTTGACCAAAATTAAAAATATCTTGAGTCCATAGTTAAAGCTATTGCCGGAACACAAGCTCTAAAAATGATGCCAAATATTTATGAGGAATACCATTTGGGCCGAAGCTAAAACTATGGATTCTGGATATAAAATCTTAAAACAAAAAGTTAAGAGTTTCTTTTGTTAACAACTGCCAACTATAAATAATAATAAATTCATAGTTAAAGACTTAAAAGTCTCAACAAAACTCAATTAATTTTTGCACTCTGACTATGGCTTGGTTTGACTTTTATATTTGTGCACATAAATTTGTAAAGAAGATATTTTCCACAGTCTTCGGTCAAAATGCCTGACTGCATTTTCGTCTCTGGTTTGGCATAAAGTCTGATTTTATTTATTTTTAAGAAAATACCACGAAACCTACAGGTAATCTGTTGTATGTGGCCGAAGAAAGCACTCAAAACTTGAACTGCAGCTTTTAAATAGTTTTCGAGCTGTGCAAATTAGGCTAAACAAGACGAATGCAATTCGAACGAGTACTTTGAAATACTTTTGGGCAAGGCATTTTATGCATGCAGCAACTCGAAGGCAATTACGCAAAGTGCTCTAAGTACCCGAAATAAGCAACAACAAATGTCCGGAATGGGCACAATTACATTAACAGTTCACACACACGGACGCTTCTTAAGCGTGCGTGTGTGTGCGTAATGTAAGCAACCAAATCAAATTGAATACGAGCTGCAGCTGAAAACTAAGCCCAGATAGAATTCGGTGCAGCTGACTGAAAGGGAGAGAGAGAGAGAGAGAGACAGAGAGAGAGAGAGGGCCGTCTTAGGGCTGTCAGCCAGGGGCAGAGAACTGACCGAGTGATAAAGTGACTGGCTGACTGACAGCCAGAACTTTCGCACAAGCTAACGAAACAGGTAAACAATGTCAAGCAGCGTCAAGAGCGACAACTGCAGCAGACGGGGGTCGGTGGGCGGTGAGCGGCAGTGGCTTTTGTTTAATAATAATAAAACGCCAGCACACAAAAATAAAATACATTGTGGGTTGCAGGGTTGCGAATTACATTACCAAGTGTCTCGCCTGCAACTGCAGCTTATGGCAGGCACACACACTTCACACACACACACACACACACATACATATGCAGCTGCACTTGGCAATTGTCATGAGTCTTCGTTTGACTATCGCCTGTCAGCCAGAAATCACCTGGGCAACCGAACAGGCTCAGGTTGTGCTGGCAGGATGCAAAATGCCTTTGCCGCCGGGTTATTATTGTTATGGCTGACATAGCCTGTACGCGAATGCTGGCAGGGTATGCTGTACTTAAAACCAGGGCTGCAAGCCAACAAAAATCTGTCAAAGGTTCGGTTCACGGTTCGAATAAGCTCGCTGCATTTCTATTTTATTTATAATCTGCCATAATTTTCTTATTCAATATGCTCAGTGTGGCTGCATATTGCTAAAAGCTTTTATGCATAAATAAATGTGGCCACACTGTCACAAATGAGGGAAATGCCAAATAGGCGCAGCCAACTTCATGCAGATTGCACATGTTCTTTGCATGAACTGTACCGTTTTTTTAAACTCTTTTGTTTAGAAATGATATGCGCTTATTTGCATACCCCTCTAGGGTATCTAATGGTCTTACACACACATCGGACTGTTTCCACCGCATTTGCTTTTATTGCTGCTGTTGTTGTTTTTGTTGTTGTTGTTGTTGGTGCTGTTGCTGATGCTGCTTGTTATTTGCGTGTTTGTAAGCCATGTTATGACAATAATGTGTGCAACGTGCGTCTGTGTGAGTGTGTGTCTATGTGAGTGTATGTGTGTATGTATGTGTGCGTTGTGGGTGTGGGTATGCTTGTGCTCTGGCTGTTTGTAGTTGGCCAAGCTAAAGCTAAATTTTGTTTTTATTGTCACATTTGCCATAAAGGCTGCCTAGGGAAAAGTAACACAGTGAAGGAGCGTCATAAGAGCCTGCCTAAGCCGATGTGTGTGTGTCTGTGTGTGTGCGTGTGTGTGTGTGTGTGGATGAGCTGTGTGTAAGCCAGACAAATCATAATCAAAGACAACAGCAATGGCGGCTGCAGCGAAGCCAACAACAATGGCAAATTCACCTTAACAACGAAACATGAGGCGTGTCTTTGCGCGAGCTTAGATGGGTTAGGGGTGGGTGGTTACGAGCTACGTGCCACGCCCAGTCAGCGATCGTACAGATAAGAGCACAGACGCGCGGGCCGAGGGAAATTATGCATCGTAAGAGGCGCTGCGTGCTTAGCCTGGACAAATAAAAAGCGCATATTTATCGGTTTTTTGTTGCATACTTCGCGGCGCACAGAAGCGAAAGCTGGAGGCATGTACACACAGACAAACACACTCTCAAATGGCAGCGTTAACACATGTGCATACAGAGTACAGCAGCTGGAAATCTGCGAGAAAATCAAGAGCTTACACTAATGAAAGCCATTTAAGGAGTTAATAACAAAACCAACAGCAGCTGGCAACTTAAATTCATGTCAGATTTGAAAGGATGCCGGGTTTTAGATCTTAATGCTGATATAGGGTGTGAAGGCTGGCTAAGAATGCGGAAGACTTAAATGAGATTGTTACTAGCATATCCTAAGAATGCTATACAATATATTTGCTAGCTAGTTAAGCTTTATGTTGGCAAGTAGCTGCCTCTTTTTTCTCTCTTTCTCTCTCTCGCATAAAATATCAAAAATAGGGTTTCAAACTAATATCTTTAAAGTTTGTACAATTATATTATATATAACAATACTTAATCTCTATATTTAAAACTGTTTGCCCTGACTCACTGTCAGAGTTAGGAAGCGAACATTTGTAAAGTAGTTACCTTATGCAATGAATATGCACGCTAAGTCGGGGTTTTCGGGGAATTTCACTCGTATGTATGGAAAAATCGCGAAAAACGTTTGTATGAAACTTTTTTGCTTACCGGCCTCAAACTCATTTTCAAATATCTCTGCTAAAATTCGTCTGAGGGGTGGGTGTTCAATTTTATTTCCAAAAATCTATACAAATCATTTGAGACATGTTTCATACCTTTCGCAGGATCTAAGCTTGCTCAGTAGAAATGAGATTCAAAGATTTTTTGGTCTCCATGTTTGTAATGTATATGTTTATGCAAACATGAATGCATGCCTACATGTATGAATACATGCCGCGATGCCTACATACATGCACATATACATACATACACACATACATAAATACATACATACATAAATACACACATACATACATACATAAATAAATACATACATACATACATACATACATACATACATATACACACATACCCACATACATACATACACACATACATACATACAATCATACATACATACAAAAACATACATATATAATAACCCGCTCCACCTTCTCCTGCTCCACCGCCAAACGTTTCCTGCCTTGTTGAATTTCAGCAAGATCTACTTGAATTTTTGAGAATCGAGGAGGAGAGCACTTGGTAGAAATTCGTTTTATTTATTGCAGCACAGCGGCATCATAAGATCTGCGTTTGGTAGTAGAAAACAAACATGCACGCATACATACATACATAAATGCATACATACATGAAAGCATACACTAACACACGCTCGCTCGCACACACACACACACAAGCTTGCTGCATTGCTTACTCAAATCGCCTCTGACTACCTCGTCGGGTAATGGGCCTTTCTGGGAACTTTAAAGAAGAATCAGATATTATTCTGCTTATTGCCGTTCACTTTAAAATAGAGTCAAATATAAATACATCTCTCGATTCTCTCATTCGGATCTATTTGTAATATCTATGTAAAATTTTAGTTGAAAGCGAATTCCTTTATTAAGGAAAGTCGTGACGAAATGGGTGGAAACTTGATGTTTAAAAGTAACCATTAAGTAGCACTAGTCAGTCATTCGGTTTGGACGTAATTTTACAGCGAGCTTCTTAGTCAACGCTTTTACCACGGTGTGCACAGAATTTTTCATATTTTCCAGAGAACAACTTAAAATCGCTCAAAATCGAGATTCATAAATCTGATTAACTCTAAGCACACATTCTAAAGTCAGTGAGCTCGCAGAGTTTGCATTACCAGCGCGATCAGTAGAAGCCAAAACCAGGACGCCAATGGGCACTTTGCTGCATTATTCTCTATCCAATTACGATAGTAGTATACATCAGCGTAAACGCCGGCGGAAAACGGCTTGCCACAGCCTTCGCCAAAGGAGACGACGCCCACCACTTTTCCTGCGCATATTAACGGTCCACCCGAATCACCCTGGCAGGAGTCCACTTCGAAATCCTTTGGGTTCGAGGCACATATCATGCCTTTTTCAAATAAGCTTAATGTATAGCAAAATTCATTTGGAAGGATAGTCAAATCGCCTCTGACTGCCTCGTCGGGTAATGGGCCATTCTAGGAGTGCAGATTTTAATGAGAATCAGATAGTATTCTGCTTATTTCCGATACATTTATTATAGGCAGTCAATTCTCTCATTCGGAGCTATTTGTAATAGAGAATCAGATTCTGCTTACTCCCGTTTTATTTATCTCTCATTCTGATTATATTTGTAATATCTATATAAAATTTTATTCAAAACCTGATTCCTTTTTCTTCCCCAAGAAGTGCTCAGAATTTTCATATTTTCCAGTTAGAGACTTACCTCAAAAATAGCACCCCATCCAATGACTGTGCACTTTAATCCAGCGGAGGGATCCTCGCCCGCCATGGGTATTATAGCGACAAAATTTTCATCTGGCTGCATCTCGCTTTTGAGAAGTAAAATGCCAATATCATTGGACAGTGTTTCAGCGGAGAACTCTGGATGCGGCCTGACCTTTTTCACTTTTATTTGTTGGGTCCTACTTGTCTTCAATAGGCGACGCGGTGTACCTGCAACTACCTTTAACTTATTTCTAGGTAGAACCGTTTCGCTTCTGCAATGTCAAAATTAGATATGAAGTGCTCTTAGTAACCGTGATGACATACTCATCAACCAGACAATGGGCTGCTGTTAGAACAACTGTCTTAGATATTAAACAGCCGCCACACATATGGTCGTCGCCAAAGAATTTAGATCTCTGTTTAAGTCGTACCGAAACTAAAAATTTAACCAGGTCATCCTTTTCGGGACGATAGCCGCCGGTTACTAGAAAGTGGAATTCACCATTGTCCGCATCAAAGGTGCTTATGTTTTGCCTAGAGTTGTCGCTCTGTGTCTGGGGTGCAGGCTCATCACCTCGAGCATGGACTTGGGACATGTCCGAGGGTGCCATGGAAAAGCTATCCACGCTCGCAGGTGAGCGCAGCTGGTAAAGAGTATGGCAGTTGCTTTCTCTCGAAGCAAATTCAATGTGTGTGCTGCAGTTCCACAAATGGTCAAAACCTGAGACTGACTGGCCGATGAAGAATAGTAAGAACAGGTTATATACAACAAATTTTGAAACTCCCATTTGTTCTGTTTTTAAAATTGTAAAAATAAATGATTGTAAACTCCTAGAGCGTAAAAGCTTAAGCAGAAAGTGCATTGAAAATATACAAAAAGTCAAGTATCCGCTATGAGCATGTTCGTAGACATCTAGACAGCTGCTGGTCATCTGTTAATGATCTTAGCTAGCTATTTACTCATCACTAGATTGCCAGTGTTGAGAAAGGGAGAAAAGTTACTTTTTCAGCAGGGTTGATAAAAGCAGGGTAATAATAAAGAGACAGATAAAAGTAAAAGACTATGACTTAGTTAAGCTAGCTAAATATATTTTTTTATAATATTTTTTTACTTTCGATTCGGTCACTTTTTTGAAGCGACAGTTATTAGCACGGATTCAAATCGCATTTCCCGCCTCCCTCTCAGCAGTATTCAGTAATTTAGTTGCTGTGGTTTTGCCTCACTAATTTGAACAACTAATTGAAATCAAATTTGTAAAGCCACTAACGCCCGTTGCGCACGCGACACGTTTTGCTAGCTGCCCTGCCACACCTAAATCGAGCCACGCCCACAGTTGTGTAAGGCATAAAAGTGGTGTGTGGTGTGAGGGTGGGTGTTCGTACTTATACAAGTGTTGGTTAACCCGTTAGCTGTACACTAATAATTGTTTTCATACAATTTACTGTCTGGCTGTGGCTCGAAACACAACGTTTGGCTCCAGTTTTGTGGGTGAACCATAAATTCCCTCTGCACGGACATCAAAGCGTATACGTAACAATTGCATGCCTGTGTGTGTGTGCATACGTGTGAGTGCATGCATGCGTGAATAGACAAACATATTCGAACAAGCTATGCTTTTGTCAATAATATGCATTAATTAAGTGCAGACATAGATGCCTGATGGACAGCATCAGACACAGGATATGCGCTGGGAGAGGAGAACGCAAATGCTGGCCAACATGGCGTATGCGTGTTTTCTGTGTATGCGCATAAATTTAATTGGCAATTTGAAAAGCCAAATAAAACAAAAAATGAAAAAGGAAAACCTGCTATTAACAAAAATCACTTTGAAGTCTGCTGTTGGCCAGGCACAAAAATTCTTGCAATTTTCTTGCAACGCAGTCGAAATAAGGCTCTGGGCGCAGGCACTCGATGAGCTTAAGTGCTGATTGAAATGATGCAGCGCTCCGGAGCAGGCAGCCCAGCATGTCGGGTCAGCTTTGAGTACGGCACGAAATGGGTAGTAAGAGCCTTTGGAGCTGTCCTTTCTTTTTTAGCCGGGACTGAAGCTCGACAAATAGTTGCGCAACTGACACGCAACTATGCCGCCTGCAACTGGCACAAAACGCACACGCACACCCGCACACACACGCACACACACAAGCATACAAAGCAGCAAAAGGAGCAGAAGCAATGGCAGCTGCTGACTAGGCTCAGAAACAGGACTCACGCTCTTTTGTATGTGCATTGAGTGGACCATCGTTTGTCACACGTCCAAAAGGACATTGGGAGCAGCGCAAGCAAGGACAGGGCTGCAGAGAGAGAAAGGGAGAGATAGAGAGAGAGAGAGAGGGGGAGGTAGAGTGAGAGGGATAGTAAAAAATCAGTGCACAGTGGCTCTGTAACTTGGAATAGAATTTTAAATTTGCTGTCTGGCTTACTATTTCAAAAAGTCAATAAACTAGTCGACATAAGAGCTTCATGTCTTTGCAAAAGTTACAGCTGAAAGCAAATACGTAACTAAACAGTTAACTATATAAACTATTATTGACGGGCTTCAAATATCAAGTGCAATTTTATAAAATAAAGAAAAGGAAAGGTAACACAAAAGCAAAACCTATAATCATCTTAATTATAACTTCATCAATTCATAGGGAATTTAAATTGTTTTAAAATCAATTAACTGTCAACACTTTAAGCACAGTTCTTTAATTGGCTTAGAGAAGCTTTATAAGTGAAGCTTCTCCCTGCAGATGCTTAAAGAGCCTATGGTAGAAAGTATTTATAAATTAAGTTAAAGGTCTATTGCAACGTGTTTATAGCAATCACTTTCAGCACTGAACTCACCTTTGCGTAACAATGTTCAAAGGGAAATAAAATACTTGACAGTGCTGCCAATTACCCATTTGCTTATTATGTGGTTACATTGCATTGCATTGCAGCGTTGCCACGTAACAAGCTGTACCCAACTGGCAGCACTGTCAAGCGAGGTTGCTTGAGAGTCAGTTAAGTGTTGGGAAACGTTGTAATATAACCTTATATTAATTTATAAATACCTTCCCATCTGCAGAGATGCTACAGTAGATACTTTTGAAAAAGTTATATTTATATGAAATATAGATAATATAATAGGTACACAAATAGCTAATAGTTTAAAAATGATGAATTTTAATGAATTTTTCATTAAAATTAAAACCTAAAATATACCTTATACTTTGCCCTACTTTTGTAGCACTGGTCAGATCTGTAATTATTCGATCTACTGTCTCAAGATATTTACGCAGCTTAGCTGCTCTGACACTCTATCACTCAGCCCGCTGTCACTTGTGAAGTTGGAACAGAGCAGCACACAGCGAGTTGTTGACTCTCTTGTGGGGCTAATGGAGTCGCAAGAGTTGGGCCATAGAAAAAAGTGGATCAAGCTGCCTCCGTATGCGCACAAAGGCATCTCGTTCAACCGCGCTAGCATTGCCGGGCCAAGCAGGATATGCACAGAGCCAACTTACAAATCGTTGTCGTTGTTGTTGTTGCATTGCCAACTACCTTCCATGTACCCGCCCCGTCGCTCTGTTAACGCATCCTCAGGCCTCTGCTTGCCCGCAATGTGCATGCGGTTGCCATGTTGGGGCACATTGGAAGCGGCATGCGGCATGTGGCATGCAGCATACAGAAGCGGCCCGAGGGCTTGGTTCTTTTCACAGGAACCGACCAGCACACGGGTCTGGGTCCGGGCCAGGCCGGAGCGACGTTGACGTTGACGTTGACAGAGGCAGCGCTGGCAGCGCCTTTGTTTATGTGCCAACATTTGGGCGCCATGTGTATGTGTATGTGTATGTGTGTGAGTGTGTGTGTGTCACTGTCTGTGCGCCTGTATGTGTGTGGAAGCCCTCAAGCTGTACGTGTGAGTGGTTTTAGTGTTGTTCTGGATTTTTAAGTTGTTTTCGTTGTCGTGCGTTGTTTGTTCTGCCATTTTTTTTTTTGGTTCGTCTTTAGTTGCAATTTACACACACATGAAACATATGCACTTAACACACAGACACACGCGCACACACACACACACGCACACCCGAACATTGTGGCACAACCACGCACTGAACGCTGACACCAATTAGGGTTAGCTACTCGTTTTTGTTGTTGTAGCTGTTGTTGTTGCACTCCGTGCGTTGCATGTTTACAGTAGCCACAAAACATAATTTTTGTTTAGACAACGAGGACTAAACTGTGGCCTCTGCTCCCGTTGCCGTTTCTCCTGGCTCCTGGCTCCTTTCGCTCCTGGCCAAAAACCTGTGCCGTAATTATCGCTGGCAACAGCAGCACCAGCAGCAGCAACAACAACAACAGTTGCAGGCGCAACGGCAATGGGTGCAGCCGTAGCTAACGGTAACTGAAGCTGGCCAACGCACAGCGTTGCCACCTTGGTATAATTTTCACTTTGAGTTTAGTTCAGAGCAAACTTTTGTGCTAACAACGTGCTGTTGTTCCCTGCTATAAATTGCATATAGTTTGAAAATTGAATAATTTTTTCTTTTATTACAATTTTGATGCATATTCATATCAACCTATATGTTGAAAATGAATATGTTCAGTAGCTCAGCACACGGAGCGAACTTCTGCCTCGTTCTGAGAATCTTGTTTGCTACATCAATGAAACCTAATTATGATTCAAAACATGGTATCATAACTTTACTGAATTTGAATGGAACAATTTTTAAATCCACAAATTGTTAAATCTGAAATGTAGTTGCAATTTGCAAACAATTTAAGTCCAGGATTAATTAATCTTAAAGTCGGTTCAATTTGGTTTAGAGATAAGATTAAAATACACTTTTTTTTAATTAAGCTGAGAATGTTTTAGGCACAAATGGGATTTATATAAAGACTAAATCCGTACTACATCAATGCAAAAATGAAGGTCGCCTACCATCTTAAATCAAGCCTAATTCGTTCTCATAATTAGCTTCAAAGCACAACACAAAACACTTGATTCGAGCCTTTTCAATTGAAGTAAGTGCTAAATGCTTAACCAGGCAGGGACGCTGACTTCTATCTTAATTTGCTTTCACTCTGATTCGACTTTTTGTTTGGCACACAGGGTATCTATTGGTCATGTATGCCCTAAAGTTTCTAACGGATCCCGTTTGGTTTTGTCTTTTTGGTGGTTTGTTTGTTGTTGTTGCTGCTGCATCGAATTTGCGCCCTAACGAGTTGTTGTTGTTGCTCAACTTACAGTGGTTGTTTTTGTTGTTGTTGTTTGCCCTGCAAACTCCAAGAGTTGATTAGAAAGTTTTTTCAGCTGCTGCTCCTACTGCTACTGCTCCTACTGCTACTGCTCCTACTGCTACTGCTCCTACTGCTACTGCTGTCGTTAGCTTTGCCGCGTGGCTCACTTGTTTCCATTAGGCGGCAAGTTTAGGAGGTCGCGAATCGCGAACATATGTGGGAGATCCGTTTGTGGCTTAGCCCCTATGTGTGTCCAAGTGTGTGTGTGTGTGTGTGAGTGTGTGTAATTGTTGGCATGTTTCTGCGTGTGTGGCTTATCGCTTGGCTGCGTTGTCGCTAAGCATAAAAACTACGGCACACAACTTTTCCTAATTAATTTTTAATGTGTGTAAAATGTTTTCTAAATGAGTATTTATTTTGCCTTTCGCAACACGGAGAAGCTACAAACAGATTATAAAGCCCATGTCTTAAATAACTGAGCTTTTAACATGTGAAATGTATGTTAGCAACAGTAACTCATTCTGAATTGTATTTATAATGATAAATATGATTAAATTATATAACGATATCGATTTGTATCGATTGCTTGGAAATTGGCAAAGTTATCGATGATCTTTAAGAAGCAACCGTGGAAGTACTGGGAGGACCTACATACAAATAATCAAGTCTTTAGCTTTTATAGCTCTTTATAGACGGAGAGACGGACGGAGTGACATATAGTCGGATACTACTCATATATTAATGCTGCCCAAGAATATATATACTATATAGGATCGGGAATGCTTTCTTCTGCCTGTACATTAAACTATTTAAATCTTTTTATCCATTTCCAGAACAATAATAATATAAAATATGCATAATAATAATAATAAATTAAAGTGTTACTCACCAAAGAGAGACAGCTCCGCTGAAGAAGCACTTACCTGAGCTGGACAGTCAAATTCTTTGTTCAGATGCTTCCTCCTATCCCAAGTAAATGTTGGATAGGGACGTTGCAAGAAATTTCTCTAAAGATGTGTGCTTGGCACCAAATGTTACCCACTTTATTAGATTGCCTCTGAAATGTGCCTAGGGCAGACGCTCTACTACTGCGATCGCTGGCGATGCATTTCATCGCCCTTTGGGCTGATGTCTCTGTTCTTGAGTTCTTCTCTTGCTCCTCGTTATTGATTTTTTAATATATTAAACAACACAATGCGTTTTTAGCCTGCCGCCAGGCACCTCTGAACCATGGTCTGGTTAAAGCATCTCCGACTTGCCGGAGAATACTACACCATAACCTTCGCTAGACACAGCGTTACCTTTGGGTTAAACTGTGCCCGAGGCAACTGCTGTGTCCATTGCCCAGCCAGCACCCTCGTGGAGGGTTCAGTTAGAGGATTTTTGCCGGCCTCTTAACAAACAATCCAAACAATATAAACTATTAATTATTTAGTATAGTTTTGTCTACTGCGGCCTGTGACCAGACAATGCTGCATACCTAAGTCAACCGGGGACTGCATTTTCAGTTGGCTTTATGTGTGAATAACTCGTCTAACCAGGACTGTGCCTGTTAGATATAATTAAAGCTTGAATATTTATATTGCACCCAAGTTTCTAATTGATGCCAAGGTATTCGTACATGTTTAAACTCAATTTATTGACCACTTTTGTACACTTTTGCCTGTGTTCGACACTTCAAAGGACATTTTTTTTTTCAATTTGATGCACGAGTTTGCGAGTATTTCAGCATTTGTGCGACGCCCCTTAGTGTTGATTGTGTGCTCAAGTAACGCACTAATTGTTACACCCAGTTACACAGATTCACACACACACACACCCACACAAACACAAACACAAGCACACTGGCCATGACACATGTCCGACCAGGAAACAACTTGCAGCAAATTGCGGCAAGCAAAATGGAATTTGCAAAAAGTGGAATGAAATTCAACCCATACAGAAAAAACCCCACTCAGCTCTATTATGCCAACCCGTTGCCCTTTGTCTCATTGCTGTCGTTTTGCAGAGATTTGCGCTTCAATCAGTTTGAGGAGTTGCCGCCCATGGCATTCAATGGACTTGGCCAACTGACGACGCTCTTCCTGAACGACAACCAGCTGGCTTATGTGCACGAGGATGCCTTCAAGGGGCTGACGGCGTTGCGGTTCCTCTACTTGAACAAGAATCAGCTGAGCCGCTTACCCGCCAGCATCTTTCAGCATTTGCCAAGATTGGAGGCGCTGTAAGTAGATAGCAGCACACTTTGAGTTCAAGTTTAATTAAAAATAAAAAATTGCATTGACTGCCACTTTTATTGCTTTTATCTATCGTCAGCTATCTGGAAGACAATGACATTTGGCAACTGCCCGCTGGTCTCTTTGACAATTTACCCCATTTGCATCGACTGTAAGTTACGTTAATTGCGTGCTTTTCCACGTTGGCTTCTTTGTTTTTTTTTTTTTCTTGGCTCTTACAGCTTTCTGCATAACAACAAGCTGAACAGTCTACCGCAGGATATGTTCAACAAATTGCATAGCCTGAAGCGTTTGCGTTTGGATGGCAACCCGATTGATTGCAATTGCGGTGTCTACTCGCTCTGGCGTCGCTGGCATCTGGATGCACAGCGTCAACTGGTGAGCATCACGTTGACCTGTGCTCAGCCCGTCGCGTTGCAGCGTCAGAGTTTCTCCAGCCTCACGGAGTCGCATTTCCATTGCGGTAAGTATGCAAGTAGTTGCAGGGAGCCAATGACACGAGCTGCAATCGGCGCTTAACAGCAGAAAAGCTTTATCAGTTAGAAAAGAAGCTTGTAAAAAATTAATCAGCTCCAGCCACAAAGTTTTAAAAGCACATAGTTGATATAATTAATTAAACTTGGTGCTCTTTACTGTATTACTTAATGGCGCTAAGGAGCTCCTGTAAAAGCTCAAACAAAGCTATTCACAACCGCTTTTGAATGAACTTCAATAAAATAACATGTTGAATCAATTAGCAATGTACACAACTTAAAAGCTCATTAAAGCTACAGAAAGCAAAACAAACCCTTTACAAAATCATATAGTAAATCAAATAGTTTATATAGGTAAACATTCTCAAAGCTCAAGAAAGATCTTAAAAAATGTTAAGCTTAATTAAGACAGTTCAAAACTTCAAACCGAAAAACTAAATTGACTAACTAGGTATTTGCACAGCCTTGAAATCACACGAAAGCTTGCAACTAATAGATTAGAGAACAAATATTTCAGTATATTTGGAAGCACATAAAAGCTCTTCATACACACAAAAGCTTTCAAATAATAAAAGGGAATACAAAGTAAGAAACAATAATTTTCAAAGCACATGAATAAAAATAAAATTAAGACTTGAAAATTGAGAGCAGAGTAAAGAAATTAAGCAACTGTATAAAAGAGATAATAGAGCTTTTAGCTTAATGCATTTTACTTGAAGCTAATGTCATTTTAGCATAATATTGAATATTGATTTTTGTAATCTTTAAACATAGCCAAGCCGCAATTGCTGGTTGGTCCACAGGACATGCTTGCCAGCGAAGGTGACACCGTGGACATGCTCTGCGAGGTGGCTGGCCAGCCCAGGCCGGAGCTCATCTGGATGCAGAACACCAACGAAATCGGTGTGGAGCTGGCGCCGCACATGCTGGTTCTGCCAAGCGGCGCATTGCGCATCAACGGCGTCACCCCAAATGACATTGGCATCTACGAGTGCATTGCGCGCAATGAAATGGGCGAGATCAAGTCACAGCCGGTACGCATGTTGGTTAGCAGCAATGCCGACAACAGTTTGGACAGCCTGCATGGTCACGTGGAGAACGCCAGCGGCAGCAATCAGGTGTGGGCTGCGGATGTGGATGCGACACCAGCGCCACCTCGTTTCATTCAACAGCCGCAGGACCAAATTGTGGCATTGCATGGGGCCGGGCACGTGCTGCTCGATTGCGCTGCCAGCGGCTGGCCACAGCCAGACATACAATGGTTCGTCAATGGCCGCCAACTGACCCAGTCCACGTCCCAGCTACAGCTGCTCGCCAACGGCAGCCTGGCCCTGCTCCAGCCCAGCCAACTGACGGCGGGCACGTATCGTTGCGAGGCTCACAATCGTCTGGGCAGCGTGCAGGCCACCGCCCGCATCGAAGTCAAGGGTGAGTAGACGTTCCCAGCACCGCCCCCCCCCCCCTTCCCCTCTCTCCCTCTGGGAGCTGTAATGTGTCCAGATTGGGTAACATTAATGTGGCTCCTCAACCAACTGCGTTTCCATTTCACACACAGCCACAACTGTCGCGCTTAACACAATTTGCAGTCGATTTAATTTGTATCGAGTTGCCGGCTTTTTAAGCCCGCAATGGTCCGTTTGTAACTTCGTTATGCAGTTGCCATTCCCGTTGTTATTGTTGTCCATGTCCACATCCGATCAGCGCCATGATTTAAGTCAACTACTATTTATATAGAGTCCAAGTATTTTTATGGCTGTGCATTGTATAACGGCCAAAGCTTAAGATTAATTGGTTGGAAACAGCGATTTTTTTTTTGAAAATCGTATGGGTATTCCCTACTTTGCAAGGAATTTATGTGTAGGGGCTTTCTTCAGTTTCTTCAGTTGCGGCAATTTTTTATTTCACCCATTTTCACTGATATTTATGGGTATTCAATATTTAGTAAAGAATTTATGGGAACGAGTTTTCTCTACTTTTCACTGATTTGTATGGGTACTCCCAATTTTGCAAAGAATTTATGTGCTTTTTCTTATGTTTGCCATTTCCATTTAGTTAGAAGGAGTTTTCTTTAGTTTACTGTGAATTTTTGGGTATACCCTATTTTGAAAAGAATTTATGTGTAGGGGCTTTCTCTAGTTTCTGCAATTTTTTATTTCAAGGAAGGGATATTTCTAGATTTCAGCGATATTTATGGGAATTCACTAGTTTGATAAAAAGTTTATAGAACTTTTCTATAGCCTACACATATATTTATGGGCATTCCCTATTTTGTAAAGATTTTATGGGTTTGGGTTGTGATTAAAGAGTTTATGGGAAGGAGTTTGGTCAACAAACAAAACTAAGGTAAGGTAAGGTAAGCCTTTATCTTTTTTATTTACTGTATTACGGGGTATTCCCTATTTTGCAAAGATTTTATGGGCAGGAGTTTTCTCTAGCATACTCATTTTTATAAATATGCTTTTTTTTTAAATTCTCAATCGTAAAAATGTAATTAATGCGCATTTAGATATTTATTTTCTTAACGAATGGAATTTCTGATATTTATTTTGTTACTCATCGTGCACACTGAGCACAGCAATAGATAAACGATTTATAAACTACATGAAAACGATATATATATATATATAGATAAATAAAAATCTATATGCACGCAGGATACTGAATTGAAGCCAATTTGTAGCGCAATTTGTTCCGCACGTAATGCCCATTGCCATAAATACAGAGCTGTGCAAGTGTATTTAAACTTTTGCTTTAATATCTTTAATTTCTTAGCCAACCAACTGCGACGTGACTGTACTTTTTATGGCATCAAATAGAGAAAGCTGGAGAGGGGAGGGGCAGGGGGAGAGGGAGGCCGTTGGATTGTTGAAAATATGTTGTTGTGCAGTCAACGACGCCTTAATCACAATGGCTCATTATAATTTGTGGTCACAGCACAAAATGAAGTGCAAAGTGTGCGCTTTATTTTGCAAATTAAGTGCAAAAATTATAAACTATTATGTGTGCATGTGTCGCGAGTGTGGCACGCATTTCATAAATGGGGGGAGGGGCGGGGGGAGGGGCGTGACTGTACAAGCAGCCAGCCAGCCGGCATAATTAACCCAACGAGCTACACACAAAATGGCGACCCGGACGCCCCAAAAAGTATGCAATGAAAAATATATGTTTGCAAATCGGAGGGCGCCAGCACAACAAAGAACGCATAGAAAACTGACCGACGGCCCCCAAATACTTTTTTTTTATTTGTGTCCTCGCTGCCATTTGGAGCGGGAGAAATTGCTCAAATCACTCAAAATACGGCTCGTTGCGTCTGTGGCTTGCAGATTTACCCGAAATTTTAATGGCACCACAAAACCAAACAATCAAACTGGGCAAAGCCTTTGTGCTGGAATGCGATGCCGATGGCAATCCGTTGCCGAGCATAACCTGGCAATTCAATGGCCAGCCACTAGCCAGCGACGGCGCCAGTGCGGACCTGCTGCTCGAGAACGAGAACACCGAGCTGGTGGTTAGCGTGGCCAAACAGCAGCATGCAGGTAAGTGCGACCCACACCCACACCCACACCTATTTCCATGGCTGTTTACATTTGTGTCCGTGTTTTAGGCGTCTATCGGTGCACGGCGAGCAACGAGAACGGCGAGGTTAGCGCAGAGGCAACGATTAAAGTGGAGCAGTCACAGTCACCGCCGCGCTTGGCCATTGAGCCCAGCAATTTGGTGGCCATTACGGGCACCACCATCGAGCTGCCCTGCCAGGCGGAGCAGCCCGAAGACGGCATGCAGGTAAGTACCCCAAAAAAAAAAAAGCTTGAAATAAAGTTTCCCTCTATTTGTTGGCCACTTGTTGACGTTTTCGTCTTGGCACAGATTGTCTGGCGGCGCGATGGACGCCTCATCGATCCCAATGTCCAATTGACGGAGAAATATCAAATAAGCGGCGCCGGCAGTTTGTTTGTCAAGAATGTGACCATTCTCGATGGCGGACGCTACGAGTGCCAGCTAAAGAACAAATTCGGCAGGGCCACCGCCTCCGCCCTGGTTACCATCAGGTGAGTTGCCAGCAGCCATTTAAGACGCCATCAAAAATCACAGACTCAAGTTTCGCTCAAAGGAAACTTTGTTTGCGGCCCGGCCCGTCTCAAAGCCCTCAAAAGACGGCGTGCACTTAAAACGCATTTAAGAGCGGCCCAAAACTTGCTTAATTAATTGAAAAATTGTTCAGCACAAAAAAGAAAGCCACAAAAGTGAAACACTGTGGTTCAAACTCTGCCAGTTTTACAAGCTGAAGTCTGGCTGAAAAAGTAGTATATTGGTTGAAGCTCTATTTTTTCTATTTTTTCAAGCAGCATTCTGGTTAAAAGCGGGTATATTGCTCTTTTGCCAATTTATGCCTTATTATATAGTATATTCTGATTAAAACGAGGCACTATGTGGATATACTATACTGTATGGTGGGCGGAATTTATGTATAGAAAAAGGTTCGAAATATTGTAAAGGCAGCTCTGCAGTAGATTGTAGATATTTCCAGGTCTAGCATTCCCGGCTAGTTCGCTCGAAATAGCTTTTTGAGGAACTCAGCGACTGCACACTGATTTAAGGCATTCAGAAAATGAAACTAATTTAAATGAATGCAGCAGGGAGCTGGACGCCACAAATACTAAAAAGTTCAAAGCAAACATTGAGTAAACTATGCTTCGGCTGGCTGGCTTGATTCCCTGCGGTGCATAACATATTTATTAGCTGAATTTAACTTACTGAGATTAAAGTGCTCGCTGGGGCTTTGCAGGAAACACCTGCATATAAATCAACTATTGATGAAGTTTCTAACAAACGGGAGTTCGCATGGTTTCGTCCCACTGTGCCGCTGGCTAAACTGCATATAAAATATGCACTAAAAGACATCAAAAGGCGGCGAGGAAAGCACAAAAGTTGCTGTGCCAGTTGGCAGCCTTGGAAAACGTGCCAACACAGGACAAGAAACGTGACAAACCAACGGACGGACGGACGGACTAACGGACGGACAGGACACACACTGAAAGAAGCAGTTCTTAGGGAATGAGAGAACCGCACAAGTTGTCCAAATTGCCCAAATTGAAATTGAGTTGACAACTTGTTCATGAGTCTGGCGCCAGTTTTCTTCGAGCGGGAGATTTTTGTGCTTGGATTTAAGACGAATGCCTAGACGCATGCAACGTGCATGCGGCCGTAAATCAATTTGTCCACCCCCCTCCCCTTGCCCACTCCCCCTCAGTTGTGCGGCAATGAGCAAGCAAAAGCCGCACAAACGGTAAGCCAAAGCAAGCCCACAAATCTTCCAGTCGAGCCGAAACCCAACCGAACTGTGGCACAGAAAAAAGGCGTGTCGCTTACGCAGCACAAAATTTTTAAATGCATAATGCAAAAAGCAGAGCTCCTCAACCGGAGCAATCTTCCGGTCTTCCATATGACCTGCTTGCCTCTCTATATGAGTCCGGGTGTGCATGTTGTGCGTGTGTGTGTGTGTGTGTGTGTGTGTACGCATCATTTAGTTCGCAGCAGCTGTGGGCGCTTTGGCAGGGCCAGGGGCTGCTGGGGCGGGACGGCTTACGTTGTTGCGCCAGCAGCATTAGAAACTTTACTCATTACGCCTGGGCCCAGCCTCAGTCGCAAGACCGCAGTAAAGCGCCGCCAAAGAAGGCAGCAAAATTGAAAAAAAAATAAGGAAAACAACAACAAAAATGTAGAAATAAAACGAAAACGCAAAACGTTAAAAGTGAAAAACTATGCTGAGTCACAGACCAAGAATGGCTACCGGAATTGAGGCAGCGAACAGGGGAGGGAGCAATGGTAACCTAGCTGGCAGCCAACAACAAAAAGTGAGCGGAAACCGCTGAAAGCCAGCAGCAGCAACAGCAACAACAACAACAACAACAGCAAAAACAATAGCAAAAGGCAGCAGCAGCAGCAGCTACTGAAATCCGCCTAAGTTGTGGGTAATGCTGGCGTAAAACAAAAGCTTATCCTGTTACTGCCTGCTGGGCTGCTGCAGACGTAGGTGATGGCGGGAATGCTGGCCACGGAAATACGTTGCCATTGCCGCAGCATGTGGCAAACACACACAAACACGCACACACCCACACTGGGAGCAAAGCCAAGAAAAGACACACAAATGCATCGTTAAGTAACAAGCAGACAGACTCCTAATATACACTGCCTGTGCACAACAAATACTTTCTTACTACTTTTCAAAATAATAAGTTAAATGAGGAATAAATATTAAAAATATAAAAAGATTTTTAAGTCCAATATAAAACCTGATCCAATAAGGATATTTATATTAACTAAAAGGCTGGTTTTTGTGTGTGTGTAATTTAGAAATAAGCATGTTACCAAAATGCGGCACTCAATATTATTTGGAACACTCCGAATTATGCAAAAAATCATACCAATAAAAGCAAGTAGTCAAATAATAAGCACATTACATATGAAGCGAGCCAGAACCGCTTTATACCAGATCTGGCGCAAATTGGCAGCACTTTTCCTAGCTTTAAAATGCGAGCTTAGCAGATCAAATGTAAAAATGCCTGATTGGCAGCACTAAAAGCTGCTAACTGCATGCCAATTAACTGAAACAAATTAATTGGCAGCACTGATTTACGCTCTTGCCACACTTTTGTTAATGTGGCAGCACTCTTGCTAGTTTTAAATGCCCGCATGCCGGCTGAGAGCTGGCAGCACTGGTTTTTGAATTGCATTGCGCGAATTCAACACGCGCCTTTCTTAAATTAGTGTTTGCTATTAAAATATAGATTAATGCAAAACTTGGCAAAGCGCATGTCAAATTCAAGGGTGCTGTCTTAAACAATTTGTTAGAGTATTTACAAACGCGCCGGCATGCCAGAAAAAGCGCAGCCACAAAATGGCAGGGACAGAAGGGCGCAGAGAAATCGAGAGGAAAATATGTATGTAGTTGGCTGGCAGTGGTTGCCATTTAGTCGCAGTAGTGCGATAGTTGATAGTGGTAAGCACTGAGCCAGTGCCTGGTGGCTTTTGGCTGGTGGTTGGCGGTGCAACAGGGTGTATTATGGTCGTTAAGTTATTACCTACCACCACGACGACAATGGCAAAGTTTACACAGCGAAAGTTTCCAAAGGGAAATTCCTTTAACGGCGACGCCAACGCCATGGAGCAATGTGAGGCATGAATTGTTGTTAATGCCGCCTGTTGTTGTAGCCTGGCGCGGATTTTCCTTTCTGCAGCAACAACTAAAAAGTGTGTGGCATAATTCTGGTCGTTGCCAAGTCAGCGACTGCCGCCGGCCACAACCAGACGAGCACCAGAAAAACTAAACTAAAAACTAAAAAAAAAAAAAAAAAAAAAAAAAAAAAACAAATAAAAGTAAAAAGATAAGTTCACTTCTTTAGACAACGACGTTTTAAGCAACCTCTGACGCTTGGAGAAATTAATTGCAATTAAAGTGGGGGGAAAATGTGAAAAGTCGAGCTATTTTTTAATATTAATTACGCTATTCGGTGCCTAGCTCGAGACGCGATGAAACTTTTCAGTTTATACTCAATCTTTATCTTCTGCAAAAGCTAATTTGGTTTTTAGAGTTTTTATTCCATACCTTTGTCTCTCTCTCTCTCTGCAGGAATAATGTGGATCTGGCGCCGGGTGATCGTTATGTGCGCATCGCCTTCGCCGAGGCAGCCAAGGAAATCGACCTGGCCATCAATAATACCCTGGACATGCTCTTCTCCAATCGCTCGACTCGTGGCCCACCCAACTATGGCGAGCTGTTGCGCGTCTTCCGCTTTCCCACGGGTCAGGCCAGACAACTGGCGCGTGCCGCGGAGATCTATGAGCGCACGCTGGTCAACATCCGGAAGCATGTGCAGCGCGGTGACAATCTGACCATGGAGAGTGAACAGTACGAGTTCAGGGATCTGCTCTCGCGCGAGCATTTGCATCTGGTGGCGGAGCTATCCGGCTGCATGGAGCACCGAGAGATGCCCAACTGCACGGATATGTGCTTCCATTCGCGGTATCGCAGCATTGAGGGCACCTGCAACAATCTGATGCATCCCACGTGGGGCGCTTCGCTGACCGCCTTTAGGCGACTGGCGCCGCCCATCTATGAGAACGGCTTCAGCATGCCCGTGGGCTGGACCAAGGGTCTGATGTACGCGGGTCATCCCAAGCCGAGTGCACGTCTGGTGTCCACCTCGCTGGTGGCCACCAAGGACATAACGCCCGATGCCCGTATTACCCATATGGTTATGCAGTGGGGTCAGTTCCTGGACCATGATCTGGACCATGCCATACCGTCGGTCAGTTCGGAGAGCTGGGACGGCGTCGATTGCAAAAAGACCTGCGAGTTTGCGCCGCCCTGCTACCCCATTGAGGTGCCACCGAATGATCCGCGCGTGAAGAATCGCCGCTGCATCGATGTGGTGCGCTCCAGCGCTATTTGCGGCTCCGGCATGACCTCGCTATTCTTCGACAGCGTGCAGCACCGCGAGCAGATCAACCAGCTGACCTCCTACATTGATGCCTCCCAGATGTATGGCTATAACACAGCCTTCGCCCAGGAGCTGCGCAACCTGAGCTCCGATGAGGGTCTGCTGCGCGTCGGTGTGCACTTCCCCAATCAGAAGGACATGCTGCCCTTTGCCGCACCGCAGGACGGCATGGACTGTCGCCGCAATCTCGATGAGAACCAGATGAACTGCTTCGTGTCCGGCGACATACGCGTCAACGAGCAGGTCGGTCTACTGGCCATGCACACGGTCTGGATGCGCGAACACAATCGCATTGCCATCAAGCTGCGCGAGATTAATCCACACTGGGATGGCGACACGCTCTATCAGGAGGCGCGCAAAATTGTCGGCGCCCAGATGCAGCACATCACCTACAAGCAGTGGCTGCCACTGATCATCGGGGAGAGCGGCATGGCCCAGCTAGGCGAATATCGTGGCTACGATCCCCAAGTGAATCCCAGCATTGCCAATGAGTTTGCGACGGCTGCCTTGCGCTTTGGACATACCATCATCAATCCCGTGCTACATCGCTTGAACTCCAGCTTCCAGCCGATACCGCAGGGACATCTGCAGCTGCACAAGGCCTTCTTTGCGCCCTGGCGTCTGGCCTATGAGGGCGGTGTGGATCCTTTGATGCGCGGCATGCTTGCTGTGCCCGCCAAGCTGAAGAAGCCCGATCAGAATCTGAATACTGAGCTCACGGAGAAACTGTTCCAGACGGCGCACGCTGTGGCCCTGGACTTGGCTGCGATCAACATACAGCGTGGACGAGATCATGGCATACCCGGCTACAATGTCTACAGAAAGTTCTGCAATCTGACCGTAGCTGCGGACTTTGAGGATTTGGCTGGGGAGATAACCAATGCGGATATACGGCAGAAGTTGCGTGAACTTTATGGCCATCCGGATAACATTGATGTCTGGCTGGGCGGCATACTAGAGGATCAGGTGGAGGGCGGCAAGGTGGGTCCACTGTTCCAGTGCCTGCTGGTGGAGCAGTTCCGACGCCTGCGTGATGGCGATCGCTTCTACTACGAGAATCCGGGCGTCTTCCTGCCCGAACAGCTGGTCCAGATCAAGCAGGCCAATTTGGGCCGTGTGCTCTGCGATGTGGGCGACAATTTCGATCAGGTTACCGAAAACGTGTTCATTTTGGCCAAGCATCAAGGCGGCTACAAGCCATGCGAGGACATTCCGGGCATCAATCTCTATCTGTGGCAGGAGTGTGGCAACTGCAACAGCCTGCCGCCGCTCTTCGAATCCTTTGTGCCACAGACCTACACCAAGCGTAGCCAGCGCCGGAAGCGTGATGCCGAGCAGGAGGTGCCCACCGCTGAGAGCTATGACAGTCCCTTGGAGGCGTTATACGAAGTGAACGAGGAGCGCGTCAGCGGCCTGGAGGATCTCATCGGCAGCTTCCAGAAGGAGCTGAAGAAGCTGCACAAGAAACTGCGCAAACTGGAGGACTCCTGCAATGCTGTCGATGCCGAACCCGTCGCGCAGGTTGTCCAGCTGGCGCCTGCTCCACAGCCCGCTGTGGTGAAGCCGAAGCGCAGCCACTGCGTCGATGACAAGGGCACCACGCGGCTAAACAACGAGGTCTGGACACCGGATGTGTGCAGCAAATGCAATTGTTTCCATGGCCAGGTGAACTGTCTGCGTCAACAGTGCGGCGAGGTCAGCTGCCCGCCGGGCATCGAACCGCTGACACCGCCAGAGGCCTGTTGCCCGCACTGCCCGGTCATGAGCAAGCCGGTCGACTGAGCTGGCCACTGGACACGGCAATTTGCATATCGACTTAACAATTAATCAAACCCCCTTAAACTTAGTAGCCACATTAACACTTAAAGGCGGATTCCATTTAGATTTAACAGAAAATCTTTAAATATACGATTTTTAACGCACACAAATGCAGTTGCAAATGGAATCTTGACGCGATACGTCGTCACATAGACATTCTCCCAATCGACGGTAACCGCCTACAACTCTAACCATGACGCGCACAGAGCAAGCAATTAATTAATTAACAATTAACTAAATATTTACTGCTACACATGTAACAATAAAGCACAGTATCAAAACTTAGCACACTATTTACTGCTCGAAGTTAACGTATTTGGTGTGCGTGCCCTTGGCTATTACAGAGTTATCCTTTTTGTGCCGCAGCTGGCAATCGATGAAGGCCAGCGATTTTCCGGCCCGCACCAGATTTGCCTCAATGAGCACCTCATCGCCCACACGGGCCGACTTCAGGTAACTAACGTTGATGTCAACCGACACACCTGGATGACAGGGCTTAGACATCAGGGCATAGGTCGTAATCATGTCCACCAATGTTGCCGTATAGCCGCCGTGCAAGCCGCCGGCTTTGTTCAGGTGCTCCGGCGCGACGGTGAATTCTGCTGTGCAAAGGCCATCGCCGCCATCCAGTATTTTTACCTTGTGAAAGCTACAAGATTTTAAACGTGTCAAACGGCTGTCGATGTCTATAGCCAACCTTTTCCAGGTGCCGCTCAAAGCCCGTAGCCTTGGCTATAATCTCAGATATGTGCTTCGCAAATTCCAGGCCCTTTTTGCGCGTTCCCATATTTGTGTTGTTACGAAACGTGTAAACAGCAAAGCAAAAACAATAACAACAGGTTCAAGAGATGTGCACTGCCAACTATCGATAGGTCGCGACTTTCACGATGAACAAATAACGATTTTTTGTGAGTCGCGTATAAGCTGTGACGTCACTAGCAGAGATAGCCAGAGAGCATAGCTCAGAGTTGGCTATCTCTTATATATTTAATTTCATAACTGAATTTCTTAGCTCGTTTACGCGTTAAAGTCCACGAATTTGGTTTGACCACCCTTGGCAATGATTTTGCCATCCGCCTTGTTCCGCAACACACACTCAATGTAGGCCATTTTCCGGCCTGCATGCAACGTCTTGGCATCCACTTCAATGACATCTCCCGGCTTTGCTGCAGCCAAATAGCTGACACTCAGACTGGAGGTGACGCCCGGATGTGAGCCCTTCGACATGAGTGCATACGTAGTTATATTGTCCAAAATTGTGGCCGTTAGGCCGCCATGCAATGAGCCCAGGCGGTTCAAGTGCTCGGCCGCGACAATAAATTCGCCGACGCAGCGCCCTTCGCCGCCATTTGTAATTTTCACCTGCAACAAACAGTTCAAATGCGGCGCGTTATCGATAACACAACTTATATAATATCGAAACTTGATGTCAGCTGTTTTGTTGCGTCGCTTTTGCACTTTGCTTTCCGCGAATATTTGGCGTCCACTTACCATTTGCGTGACTCGATCAAAACTTGCCCCTTTCGATATAAATTCGGCAACTTTTTTAACCATTTCGACGCCATTCTTAGCTGACATTATAATTTAGTTACGTCTGCACAGCAGCTCTCCCTCCACCGTACTGAGCGCTTTGAAATGAAAAAAGCTACTGAAGCAAGCGCTAGCGATGACAAAGGTGAGTGCAAAACATGAGCTACATATACAACAAATTTACATAGGGTATGGTGTGTGTGTGTGTGTGTGTTTTGCCAAATTAACTGAGGCAAAGTCTAGACGGGCAACATGTGAAATTCACGCATTTGTTTTGCTCGCTCTGTACGCGTCTGCGTCTGCCGGCAATGTGATAAGCAAAAAGAGCTTGAAAGTTCAAGAGTTATAAAAAACTAATATGAATAATAATAGTAATCATGATGATGAACATTGCCACCAATATAAATGGAAAGACTAGCCTTAATATATATTCTTATTTATAAAAATGTATATTATATATTTATGTTTGTAAGTATATTCAATTATGTACTTACCCGAGAACGCACAACACACTTACGAAGTTTTATTTGTAGAAGGGGAGCAGGTAATACTGAAAGAAAAGAAGTAGAGACAGATAAGAGTAAGAGCAGGAGAAAGAGGAATAAGAACGAGCTTAAATTCGAGTAAAAAAAAATTACGGTCGAAGATAAAATTTATAGATGGGCAAACACAACCTGTTAAAATATAAGTGATCAACGCAGCATCAAACTGTAAGCCTTATTTGAATTAATGAGAATCGAATAGAAGGGCGGCGGTTAGCAGCAGGTGTTAAATTTGCAGCTATGCGGAAAGTAAACTTGATGAAGGTTTTGTATGACAGAAGCAAACATACATATGTACACGCACACACATGTATGTATGTATGTACATATGCATGTATGTACATATGTATGTATGTACATATGTACGTATGTACACGTATAACATTTAATATATGTAGGTTTAAAAATTAGATTTAAGCAGAGTTAGATTAAAGGGCCAGTTATTATGTTCATTATATAGAAACTATATTACTCGGCCTTGCACGGGCTTTACGCTTAAGTTTTATATTAAATAGATTGGCTACACCTTACTTACCTTTCATAGAGATAAGATTGATTAAGGTCGTGTTGACTAAATCTGTCTGCTTCATTCCGTTCTGTTTCTGCCGCAGCTGGAGCAGCAATGTCATTCCAACTGTTGTCCAAGAGTGATCTCAGGCAGGAGACCGTCCATGACTTTGTGGCCTACACAACGGATGGCGATTGTATTTCGCTGCTCGGGTCGAAGACGGAGCTGCTTACCCTGGAATTGAACAGCAAGTCGAACCCGCAGCTGCCCTTTCCCTACGTTGTGGCCAGCTGGAAGTGTGCGAACAAGAAGCGACCACTGGACCAGCTGTCGCTGCAGGTGAATCTTCAGAATATCTACGAGAGCAGCAATGTGCTGGAGATGCAACAGCTCAGCCTGGAGCCGGCTTACACGGCCGTTTGCTCGCAGGATGTGCCGCTGCCCAATTGGCTGGCCGCCAAATTGTCAACCCAGCCGCTGCCCAATGGCCAAATGCTGTTGGCCACATTAAACAGCTATGGAGCGCTGCATTTGCTGTGCAAAAGTTCAGAGCAGCCGCTTTGGCGGCAGCACGAGAAGGGTCTCAACGTGACCGCAACTCTGCGGGATACACTGCAGCCGCCATACGAAGTGCCCGCCGTCAAGATCAGCACGTTCCGGCAATATCAGGCATTTGTGGATCGCAGCTGGATAACCATGTTTGCGTGGCGTCCAGTGGACAGCGGCAGCTATATGCTCGTCCTGGGCACAGCTGCCGGCAGCATATGGACGCTGACCCTGTGCGCCAATGCAGCCACTGTCCTGGACCATTGCGAGCTGCAGACGCTCCTGGGTCGCATTTGTTTTATGCAAATCTACGAGGATCTGCTGCTTGTGGGCGACAACAACGGCCTGGTGCATCTGTACAGATTTGGCACAGCGACAGAGGAGACGGAGGAGGGTCTTAGTCTGGTGAAAACGCTATGGCTGCGCCCGGATCACATGGGCCTGCAGGAGGCACTTATTACATACTGTCCGAATCGCGACTGCTACTATATAGCCTGCTGCAAGGCGGCGCATCTTCTGATCTGGTGCATGCCCAAGCATGAGGAGGGCGACTGGCTGGAGACGCGTCTGCATGCAGGTGGCATGAAGATCACGGGTAAGCTATAGACATCCATTTGCTTTACATTTAGATAATACTTCTTTCCACGCACAGGTCTGTGCGCTCTGGAGAACTGCAACTATGCGCTGGTCACGGCACGTGGGCAACTATATCACATCGAGCTCAGCCACAAGCACGGTCAGCTGTGCGCCAGTATGCGGTGGATTCGTGTGGACGATGCCGAGAACTACCAGCCAGTTGGCCTGTGCTGCAGTCCCAGCCAGAATCTGCTGACCATTCTGTACACGCGCAGCAAGGAGTTTCTGCTCAACAAGACGGTGACCCGCCATATGCTGCACGTGCGCGTGGGCAGAATCCATAATAGCCAGGCGCTGGTGCAGCTCGAACGTCGCATCAATCCCGGTCAACCCATCAACAGCTGTCGAGATCTGTTGGTGGACATACGTCTGGAAATCTTTCAAGGTGTCCAGCTGGAGGAGTTTGTTAACTATGCGCCATTCGATATGATTGCCTTCGACGATCTGGCCACCGAGGCCCAGCAGCATCAGCTGCAGCTCAAGTACCACATCTTGGATGCGCTCATTCAGATGCAGCGACATCAACGCAACCAAACACTGCTCGAGCAATTCGAGCAGGAACTGCAGCTGCTGTTGGCTATGCTGGCCCTTACGCATATGCGACTGCGTCTCCAGTTCCTGACCAGCCTGCAGACGGAGCTGACGGCATTCCAGCGCCAGTCGGCACAATGTCAGCTGGCGGAGAGTGCGCGCATCAGGCAGCAGTTGGAACAGCGGCAGCTGCAACGGGAGCAGGCGCCCCAAGCAGCAATAAAACGTTTTCTGGCCCAGATGGAGGTGCACTTCGAGCAGCTTCAGCTGAAACTGAATGTGCCGGAAACAGCACAAATGTATGATGCGTCCGATCAACAGCTTTGCACCGTCTCCTATGTACAGGTGGGCGTGGCTTACTTATGTGCCTCTATCCAAACATTTTATTATATGTATGTATTGTCCTTAGGTGCTGCCCACGCTGGAGCGGCACTATTGCACACTGTGCGGACGGCTGGCTCTGCTGGAACGGCAGCTGCTCCTGGAGCTCTATGCGCCGGGCGGTGTACTGCTGTGTCCCTGCTGTCATGGATCCTACACCTTGGAGCTGTTGGATGCATAAACATGAAGCGAGCCATTCCAAATTCCGATGCCGAATCAATTCCGCAGTTTTTTGGGCAGCTTTATTTTTTTTTTGAGTACGAAACTTTGCGGAGTTGATAAGGTTTCGGAATTTAGAAGATGCCCGTTAAATTTTTATTTGAACGTACCTTTTAAGTGTGCATGTGTGTGTGTGTACGTGTGTGCGTGCGTGCTCCCCTTAGTATGTGTGTGTGTGTGTGTGCGTGCCAGTACATAGGTTAATACAGTGAAACATAAATAATAGGACTGGTCTCTAGCAGCAATATATCCTGCTCGAGCTGGCGCAGATCACTCTCCAGTTTGCCCTTGCGCTGACGCTTATTCTCGCTGTCGATCAGCAGGGACATGGACTGATAGCTCTTGGTCATCTCATTCAAATGGGCGCGCAGGCCCACAAGTATATCGTTGCGTTCCGCTTGATCCATTACGCGCATGCCGGGCATTTCGGGTGGTGCGCCGTCGGCACGCGTCGGCTTGGTGAGAGCTTCCATTGATTCGGACAGCTTCATGCCGCCGCAGAGTTCCATGAGACGCGCCTGCTCCTTGCAGCAAACGCCATGCATTTCCTTGAGCATCTTCTTGGTCTTCTCTATGTAGACGGGCACCTTGCCAAAGTCCTTGCGGCACACAAACTGCGGCACCATGCCCGAGTTGAGTAAATTCTGGCGTGTGCCCACGGGCGTGTCCACGTAGCGCGGCGGCGGTGGACAGCGCACAGTGCTCCGTGCACACCTGATATTGCGCAGCACAAAATTGGGCACCATATCGGCCTTCTTTTCCTTTTTGCCCATCTCAGGCAGCGGCGGCATATGCGCACTCTTGGGACACACGTGCAGATTCTCGCGACGCCACTTGACGCCCTGATTCTTGCGCAGATAAGCGCAGGGCGGATCGAGCGGCACATTGGCACAGCCCATGGTGCGATGATACGACTTCTTGGCATCCGTGAGCAGACGCATGCCATCCTTAAGCGTAATCATCGAATGCTTCTTGTACTCCATGCTCAGACGATCGCGCAGACCCTTGGAAAACTTGGCTGCCTTCTTGGATGTAGCTGCCCAAAGGAAGACAGAGAGAGAGAGAGAGAGATTAGAGACGGTCGCCACATAGTCTTGCGCTTTCTACCCACCATGAACCTCCAAGCTCGCTTCCTGTGGCTTCTCGGGCTCGCGCTCCAAATTAAAGATGTTCTCATTGTGATGTGTTATGTAGACCAGCGACATGATATTTAGCTTTAAAAAGAGAGAACTTCCTCCTTTCGCTTAGCAAATATACATATATCTATCTCGAAATCTCTATTGTACTGAAAATATTTTTGTAACGCTAGCTTGTATTTAAATTTATATATACGTAAGTAACATCGTTTTGTATCGTTGCCAAGTTTCAAAAGCAGCTCCAAACCCTGTTGCCACAATATACATGTGCTTGTTGTTGCTCTAGCAACCTATTAAATATAACTCCTGCACATATTTTTCAAACTTCAAACCGATCGATATTATTTCGCAGAGCTAAATTCTTGCTTTAAATAAATGTTTAAAAATTCGTATGAACATAATTCAGATTGGTTTAAGAGCTGATATAATTAATAATAATAAAAATTATGATATTCTTTGAGAAACTATAGACTGGAGGACAAAGTTTTAGTCAAAATTGGATCCACCTAGTTAACGACTTAATTTCCCTTTATCTGCTGCTGATCTCTATCAATCATATAGATTAAGTTATACGTTGACAATATGTATTATTAATGCACAAAAAAAGGAATTTAAAAAAGTTTAGGAGAGCTTTTGAAAGTGGGCTTAATACCCCTAAAACTGTAGGGAGATTTAAATTTATGCGATATTTATAAACTTAATTTGTAACTCTAAAGCTGGAACACATTTCAAATAATAAAATAAACAGATAAATTATAATTGAATTAATAAAAACTTTTGATTAATATACACAGGCAGTTATTTTCGAGACTGGAATTCGAATTTTGAGTGGAATTCTATTAAATTTCCAGCTCCTAATGAATGTTATTCTATAAATGTTGATTTATTAAAGCACAATATCAAGCTACAGCTTGTGTCGCACACGAGTTACACTTACACTTAGTATAAAATTTGTTACCATAAAAAATTCGTGGTGTATATAAATTAGTTTATGTGTGAGTGTGTGTGTGTACATACATATTTATATATAAAATAGTTAAATACGCTTTGATTTCGAAATTGGAAGCACAATCGAAAGATAAAAACCATCTTCATAGAGACATTTAAAAAGCACACAACGCGATGCTGAGGGCACAAATATGCTTTAAATACCTAACTTATCGGCTATATATAATCAATATGTATATGAATATGAATATGGATATGGATGTGTGTGAGTGTTCAATATGAATGAATGAATGTCAAAGCCACTTAGAGTTTGCACTGTTTGGACAGCTTTTGCAGGCACTACAACTGATTCGCATGACGCTATTGCACATTGAAAATGTGAGTCATGGATTTTTGGAAGCGTGTGCAGCTCATTTGTTGCCGCCGCCGGCGCCGCCGCTCTCGCTGCTCTCCTTGTTGCGCTCCTCGCGTATGCGCTTGAACGCCTCCGTCTTGACAAAGTCCACGAAATTGTAGACAACGCTGCTTTGTACGGGCGCACGCACTGCCGCCGCATCCGTGGCACCCAGACGCACACCACCCAGACCGGCGCCGCCCTGGGCGTACAGATTGCCCACGCTCATGCTCTGCCGGTTGAGCAGCGGCGGCTTATTGGTCACATCCAGATCAAAGTACTGTAGCTTGTGCTCTGACTGCTGCTGCTGCTGCTGTTGCACTGCCTGCTGGCTTTGCTTGTGTGCCGCTGCCGCCGCCGCTGCAGCTGCAGCTGTTGAGGTCATGGCTGCTGCTGCTGAGGCGGTGCGTTGATGCTGCACCGATTGACTGCCGGGGCTGTTCGGGTGCTGGCGATGTTGCTGGCGTGGCAGTGTGCGCGTCTCATGGAAATAGGCAATTGCTGCCGGCGAGTGCACATCCGTTTCATGCGGCAGCACCATCGAGAGCGGTGCGCCAGTGGACCGACGCGTGGCAGGCGACATGGTGGCCGAGGAGCCCAACTACAGCGGAACGCCAAATATAATTAGCTTACATAAAAGTTGGCTTTTAGCATTGCTTACTTTATACGCATTTGGCTTGCACTTGCGATCCACGCTGGGCGGCGCGCTTGACTGCAGCTTGGTGGCGGACAATTTGTTGTTCAGCTGCTCCATGGCGGCGACGGGCGGCTTGGCCGGGAACTCTTCAGGCGGCTTGTCCTCGACGCTGCTCTTGTGCGTTGGCTCCAGCGTCAAATTGGCCACCTTGGGCTTGAGTTTGCGATTAACTGGCGGGCAATCGGCTTGCTCAATGAAATCATAGCGAAACACATTGCCCTCCATTCGAGTGGGCGCCGCATTCGTATAGCAATGCTGGCGGGGCAGCGTGCGCGCACTGGTTGGGGAATTGACGGGCGCCGTTGTTGCCGCTGTGCTGGATGCCATCTGGCTGGGATTAGCTGGCGCTGCAGCAGCGCACGCATCAGCCATTAGATTGGGCGTGGATGCCGCTATGGGATTGCTATTGTGCGGACTGGTAACCGGTCGCTCGCCCAGCAATTGGCCCACGTTGCAATAGGGCAACTGATGCGAACGTGGAATGTCATAGCTCTCTTCGATCAACGAGGAATTGGCATGCCGTGACGCCACAATAGCTGGCGACGTGTTCTCCGTGTCCGACAGTTGCGGCAGATCACGTTGCAATCTTTAAGCAAAGGCGGAAGTTTAGTATTTTGTGGCCAACTTTAGAGATTGGGTGTGCATTTAAATTACTTTTCATTGTCCTTGAAGTCCAGTATAAGATTATTTTTGTTCTTCAGCACCTTGGCCAGCTTCTCCAGCGTGTGATGCTCGCCCGCGCCATCTGCGGCTGCTGCTGCTATTGTTCCCAGTTGTTTGGCGTGCTTCTCAGTGCCCGTGGCCGGCAACGCAGCGCCGTCTTCAGGCATCTTGGAGAAACGCTGCGAATAGGTCAGCACAAAAGACTCGTTCTCAATGGAACTATCCGAAGGCCGTGTGCTGCGATCTGCAAGCAGTAGCAGTTCATTAAATAGGAATCTATTTTTGTAAGACTGGATCCATTCCCACATACCAACATTCTCGCGTAGGGGCAGCGGATGCGCCCACTCGTCGTCGTCGGTGAAGACACTTTCCGAGTCCGAATCGGAGCGCTGACTGCGCTGCTTCCCGCTGGCATTGGCCAGTTGCTGCTGCCAAAAGCAATAAACACTTAGCAAAGATTAAACAGAAGAGTATCTAAGAGTTAAGGCTCACCAAGCTGCAGTTGGTTATTTTGGGTGAATAGGATTGATCGTTAGTCAGATTGAGGCCTATGTTGTTGTGACTGCGCGGTGTATCATAGAATTTGGGATCCAAATTGTTGAGGGCAGCCGCCGCATTGGCATGGCTATCCAATAAGAACTTGGGACTGCCCGTAAAGCATTCACTAATCGGTATATACGGCCCGGAGGCGGTGCTCAGCGCCGGCGATGCCTGGACGCTGCCATGCTGCTGCTGCTGTGTCATGGCCTCGGCCAGGGTCTGTTGATTCAACACCAGATGCTCGGGCAGCTTACGCACCACGCCATTCGCATTGATGGCGAGACGTGCGGCTGCGGCCTGAGCCTGTGCCTGCTGCTGTTGCTCGGCCTGGGCCTGCGCCTGTGCCTGGGCCTGAATCAAAGCGCTCTGATTCAAGTAGAGCGCCGTGGCCGGCGACGGAGGAGGCTGTTGCTGTGCAGCCGAGAGCAGCTGTTGCTGATCAAAGTGTGCATCGCAGAGCAACGTCTCCCGATTGTTGTAGTCCGTATTCACATAGACCGAGTCCGAATTGTTGTTGGCGCTCTGCGGCTGCTGATCAATGACCGACGGACGACGCAGCAGCGAGTTGGTGGCCGTTGTCCCGGCCGACGAGTGCAGCGATGTGGTTGTTGTGTTTTGCGTGGAATTGCTCAAGGCGCCGCTGGAGCTGGTATGCTGCTGTGCGCTACGATTCTCATCTGTGTGAAAGGATGTTTGGCAACAGGTGAAAGTGGCTGCAGACCAGTTTTAAGTTTGATTTAAACACTCACCTGCTGCTGCTGCTGCTGCTGCTGCAGCGGCGGCTGCTGTCGATGTGGCTGTGGCGCCCAGCGGCAGCTCATTGGACTGCTTGGTGTCATGCAGATGGCACACCTGGCAGATGCAGTTCACCCAGTCGCGCATGCTAGCTTCGGTCTCGGCAGCCAAGTAATATGTGCGCTTCGGCGTCTTAATGTCAAACATATACTGAAATTTCTGTTTGCGATTCTCCAAGCGCAGCCCGCAGTCGACCTGCTCGCACTGATCCAAATCGATGACACCCTTCAGCTTGCGGCAGTATTGATCCGTATAGTATTCGAGGCAAAACTGCTCCGGTATCTCGCCCTGCTTCAGCGTAAACCAGCGACGACGCCAGCGCTGCAAAAGCAAACAACAATTTCGCTTGAGTTCTCGCACGATAAGCTCGCAAACAGGGGCGCAGTCCGAACAGCTGTACAGCAGTCAGTCCCTCAATCAGACAGTTCGTCAATCAGTCAGCCAACATATGCTGGATATGAGAGGCGCTGCACGACTGCGATAAGCTGCTGCAGCTTGCTTGGGCGACGGGCAGCTATCAGCCGCAGCAGCGGTGAGTAAGCGACGCTGCACGCTGCGCTGCTGACGTCGCTGCCAGCTGCGCTGCTGGTTTTCCGCGAATCGTGTTTACATTGACATTTTCTTGAGTAATCAGCGGCTCACACCCACATTGCCAAACAGCTGTCCGGAACGGCGAGTCTATTGACACCGTCGAGCCAAGTGGCCGCCTTCTTGGCCAGGGCTAAGCGCAAGCGGCGTATGCGAACAGCCAAATACTCTACGATTTTTCTTATCAATGCAGTTTTTCTCCAAAGCTTACAAAAAAAAAAAAAAAACAATAAATTGTAATTTTCAGCTAGACGAAACGTGGATCGAGCGGTTCCATTCGAAAGTCGGAAGTCCAATGCATCACGCGCTTTTCACTTGCGATTAACGTGCTACGTTTTCTTATAAAAAATAGACTGAGCAAACACTAGTCAGTTGTGTTCGACTAGCTAATACCCTGTAATTTAGTTTAGGTTGGTTTTTGAGCCGAAAATTGTTGTACACGGCATTGCAATTCATTTGCTTTTATATGAAACGAGTTTTGGTTGCAATTCGTTGGCCAAAAAACTGTTGAGTCGATAAAATAGGAGAAATGCTCAAATGCAATATTAACTAACTAACTATCTTAAATTCTTAAATAAATACGACTTTTACATATAAGTACATACAATTCGATGTTCAAATTGAAAGGTTTCGTACCTGTATTAACCAGCTTTATGGCTGCAGGTATTCGGTTCGAACCATCCCAAAACTGAATCAGCGAAAATGTTTTTATGGTCGTTTTTTTTTTTTCAACTTTTGTTCTATCAAAAGCAAAACAATTTCCCTTTTGCTACAATTAGTTGCTCCAGCTGCATTTAAGATTTGGGCTAATCTAATACTTAATTAATAATACTAAAAATAGCATCTATAATTATTGCACTTGCTCGTTTGATTATAAATTCTATTCACGTCAAAGACGTCAGAGTTCTTATTATTTACATTTGATTTGGAAAAAAGGGAAAATTCTTGGCATAATCTTGAAATCGACGAAACTGGAACAATGCCAATAATTGGCACAAATAACAAGAACAAGAACAAGGCACATATGCAAATACCCTTTCTCCACAGCACAGTCATGATGCGCTATAGTGACTCAAGAATTAAGAATCAGGAATTATTATGCTTGGCAGATGAAGCATTGGTATAAATTATGATTCATGACATGATCACAGTTCGTTTTGTCTGCAGCAGCACAAAGGGGTATGATACGCTGATACAGTGGTCCCTCGCTAAAAGGAAAATGCATGCAAATTTAGATCAACTTTAAGAGAATTATGCATTCAAACGATGGCTTCTACGTAAACGGAGTTTTCAATTTAATTGCAAAAATATATATGAACAATTTTTGCATACAAATTCTTTTTAATGTGCGTTCACTGTACCAAGTGTTTTTTTTTATTCAAAAATGTAACAAAGGGTATTCGCCCTTCTGCTAGCTCTTGGTTTTTCTGCCAGACAAATTTGCATTGTTGTCTGCACAGTTTCACGCTTAATTCAATTATAAACAATAAACATAATGCCACACGCAAACACACACACACACACGCACACAAACACAGTTATAGAGAAATTGGCACCCTGAGGCGCAACAAGAACCTATAAGAAGAAGAAGAACATAAATAATAAACAGCTAATTTTGTTTAAGCGCCTGGCATACAAATTGGGCAAGGGATGGGCATGGCTAGGACAGTTAGCCCCTATATAAGGCCTGCCTTAATGCAACAAAAGCAACAACAACAACAACTACAATAACAACAACAGCAAAAGGGAACGACAAGTGCGTCATTTTGTTTGTGCGTGCTGTGTGGCTTATCGTATGGGCATACAATTTTGTAGAACCATACGGATAAACAGCTATACACACGAAGACATAGTCGGGTATACACGACTAGAGCATACCACGTGATTTAAAAAATGACAGACTTAAAGCAAAATCAGGGCTAAGACTTTGATAGTATATGAAAATGTTGTTGCCCTAGCTAAATCGAAAATCGATAATTATCGATTATGCTTCAGTTCTGTCCATATCTGTCTAGTGCAATACACAGATGGACAGAAACTATGTCTCTCTCAAGCATGCACAGTGCAGTTCGCAGGAGCTGCTCTGCCTGCCTGTCGCAAACACATACCCAAAAATCGTGTATACCCGTTTAAAAACACTTTTAATGGGCATCAAAGACCAAACATGCATACATACATATGTCTGTGTGCGCCTTGTTGATTGCTTTGTGTTTTCATGTTTTTTTTTTTTTTTTTGTGCTTGGGGCAACACTTTCTACTTTGCGAGTTAAATGTTGATTAAACGTGCAACAGTTGCTCAACAGTTGTAATTTAATACGCAATGCCGCTAGCGGCGCTTAACGGTTAGCGCACGGTAAACATTTAATTAAGCGTAAACTTTGAGGGCAGCCTCACAAAATGTTCCCACGCCACACACACACACACACATGCAGACACACACATGCACGCAAGCGCAGCTATTGAAAATAGCTCATTCACAATTTACAAATTGACTACAAGAACAAAACAGAAACTGGCTTGCGGTTTTTTTTTTGTTGTTGCTTGTTTTGCTTTTCAATCACTTCGCCTGGAATTTGCAGCAGCAACAACAACAACAACAACTCGATATCATCAGCCATGCAGGCCCATGCTCAGTCCGTCTGCCGCTTATTAATGAATTAAAAATGATTATCGGACACACAACAACAACAAACAAATGATCACACACTAATACGCTCACACACACACACACGCACGCACACCATCGCACACGAACACACTGAAAATGTATACAGAGCGTAATTGTACAAAAATGCCACTGGTTGGTGCGTTTCTTTGCATGACTCAGTGTAGAACAAGCGGAAAAAACAGTCAAATGTTATTTCCATGCTGCTGCTGCTGTTGTTGTTGTTGCTGCTGCCTTTTTACCGTATGCTTTGCTTGCAGCTTGCATTTTGCACATTTCACTGACCATTTGCTATTTGCATTGGGGCTAAGACTTAAAAAAAAAACTATATGCTTTGTTGCTGCTTGTGTGGTTCAATAAACTTACAGCACGCCAAATGCGCTTTGAGGGCGGCGATTTTATAAGCCATCCTTCGTGGAATGTGCTATCCATTATTTATTTATACGCACGATTATTTATAATTATAATATCTGTTTGATTTTTCACTGTCCGCACACAACAACGCACCAACACACTCGCGCATTTATTTTCATTATTTTAAGAGCAGCCTAACAGCGGCACCGACTTTAACATGTGCTGCCTCTGTTCAATAACAGTGGCTGCTAACATTTACTGCAGCAACAATTTGGGTTGCCATGCTGTGTGCAATATTGTCAATAATAGTAAAAGCAATTTTCAGATAATAAAAAATTGCGCGACTATTAAAAAATATAGGCTACTAAGAGCATGAAAATCATTTGCTTAACATTACATTGGCATACAATAAACATAACAGCTAATCGATGTTTTTATACTCACCTTGGTTATCGATGCTGTTAATCCGATAAAATGTGCAGCGTCATATCGATAATCCAACATGGTATACAGTGGAACTAGCCTATGACGAACTGTTATTCCTTATTTAATATCCTCTCCAAATAACTTTTGTTGATTATATTACATTAGCATTAGTACATTGATTGATGTTTTAGAAATCTTGCAAGTGTGTTGTTTAGAAATAAATTTTATTCCGTCGCGTAAATTGCATGTTGACCACATACAGCTCTCCCATATATATATGCACAATTATAGCAAACAGCGCTACGCTGATCTCAGACGGAACGGGCTGCTCCAGTTGTTGTTGTTTATTTGTCCTTGCTGTCGCCCTTGCCACCACGAATCCTACCAGTACGACGGGCAGCGATGAGACCGACCTTGCGACCGGCGGATGTGCCACGCTTGACTGTCGACGCCTTACCAATATGTTGATGGTTACCACCACCGTGGGGATGCTCCACAGGGTTCATGGCAACACCACGCACCTTGGGCCAGCTGTTGCGCTTCACCTTGTACTTGTGATAGGCACGACCGGCCTTCAGGATGGGCTTGTCAATACGACCACCGCCGGCAACGATGCCGACCATGGCGCGGTTGGCCGAGGGCACAACCTTCTTGGCGCCCGAGGGCAGCTTGACACGGGTCTTCTTGGTGTCCGGATTGTGGGCAATCACGGTGGCATAGTTGCCAGAGGTGCGCGCCAAACGGCCACGATCACCGGTCTTCTCCTCCAGATTGCAGATGATGGTACCCTCAGGCATCTGGCTCAGCGGCATCACGTTGCCGATCTGCAGTGTAGCCTTGCGGCCGCAGTAAACAAACTGGCCAGTGTGCATGCCCTCGGGGGCGATGAACAGTTCCTTGCGGAGCTTGTAGCGGTAGGGATCACGGAAGTGAACGACGGCCAAGGGTGCGCCACGACCGGGATCGTGCACAATATCCTAAGCAAATTGATAAAAACAACACAAGCAGTTAGCTAAGCACATCCATGTGTCGGTGTTGCCATATCGTGCAACAAAAAATAGCACTTACCTTGACAACGCCGCGAATGTAGCCAGAGCGCTCGGCGAAGTCCAGAGAACGCAGCTTGGCGGCTCCCTTGCGCTTCTTGACGTGCGCCTTGAAGACGGAACCGGCGCCCTTACGCTGTGCACGAATTACACGACCCATTTCTACAATTGGGAAAAGAAATATCCAATTAATGTTTATCCAGACAGCAGACAGCAGGTCGTTGAGTCATTTTATTTCACACAGACTGCCAATTATTCACAAATATTCAATGCACACACTAGCTTGAGACACATTTTAAACATATTGTTTATTATTTATTACGGATGTTGCAGTTTTCGTTATTAATTTTTCGATTATCATTTCAGCAGTCGACACCTACCGATGCTCGGGTAAAAAAGAAAAGAGAGAAGAGGAAGACAGCAGCATATTGTCAAACTTTGACAGGCAGCGCTGCCAACTTCACGCTCTTTTCCGTCAGCTGTTCGCTACATTACAGTGTTGCTCAATACATGCTGTTATCGTTAATCGATGAAAATAGTACAATTTGAGCGTTATCGAAAATACTAAATTTAAATTGCAGTTTTGTTTATTTTGTTTTTTTTTTTTTTTTAATTTTGAGATTATATATATAATAATTTTTTTTTACGATTTAGATTTACATTCATTTGTTCATCAATTTACTTGTTTTATTTTTGAAATAAAGTAAGCATTTTATTACTAATTCGGTTTTTTTTTTTTGTTTTTTGCTTTGTTTTTAATTGCAGTTTAGTGCATTTTGTTTAAAGAACATTATTAAATATGGGGGACACGGGGTATACATTTATTTCATTTTCCATTGTCTTATAACACAAAAATAAACAAACAATATTTTAAATATTTCTCTTTCAATTTCATTTTCATTCGCTTTGCTTGGAAGGGACGCACATGTGAAAACAACACAAAACAAGCAAGAATAATTCATAAGTTTTTTTTTTGTTTAGCATTAACTGCCAGCTTAATTTGACATATGTACGTGTTTCTCTCTCTCTGTGTGTGTGTGTGTGTTTGTATATTGCAACGTAGCCATTAAATAATTAAGCTTTAAAAAATTCTCCACACACAAATAAAGGAAAAAAAAAAGAAAAACAAACACATAGAAATTGATGCACAGCACACGAAGCAGATTTCCTTGCTAATTGAGTTTTTGTTTTGTTTTTGCTTTTTATCAATTTTATATGCTAGCTTTTTATAGAATTTCGTATCATGTTTGATTCATCTTTTGTTTTTTTTTTTAAGGTTCTGTATAAAAGTTCAGTAAAAAATGCAGCTTAACTAGGTTCATCGAATTTCCTCCAATCTTGTTATCAAGCTAAGTTCAGTTGTCTTTCAAATATGATCAATCAATCAATCGATCAATCGATCAATCAAAATTGTGTGTTGTTTGTGTTGCTTTCGGTTTGTTTTCGTTTTCGTTTTTCTTTTCGTTTTTCCTTTTATTGTACACATATTCTCCTCAATTATAATTGTTGCGACTTTTGCTTATAACATTTTGTTTTTGTTTTTTTTTTTTTTTTTTTGTTCAGCTCTCTATAATATTATTTACTTGCTTTTGTTTATCACTTAGTTTTTACAATGGCGCTTTTTAATATTTGTTTTTGTTTTTTTACTTTTCATAAAAACTGAGCAAACAGAGACATTTGTTTATGATTTATATAAATTGATAAAAGTTATTGCAAATAGTTCGCAAACAGATTTTGTCAACAGAAAATTCTAATTGCAATTGATTTTAATTATTTTCTTGATTTCGCTTAAAAAGGAAGTTGTAGGCAAATAATATATATTAAGTAGAAAAACAATATGCACACAATTCTAAATTCACATTTGAAATGAAATTGTTCTCTTTTTTTTTTATATATGTGCATTGTGTACAAATTAACTGCGTATTCTCATTTTGTTCTCTTAGATTTTATTTATGTAATCCTTATAATACATATGCATGTGTTGTATTTTGTTTTGTTTTTTTTTAATCAAAACATGAATTGGGCGGGCGCAAAAATGAAAAACCTCGACGAGTGAGCTTGGAAAATTGTTTGGTTTTTCTTTTATTCTGTTTTCCTTGCCGCTTTCTTCTCTATCTTTGTTGTTGTTTTTTTTGTTTTTTTATTAAATACATTGCTTAACGCTCGCCTAAAATTGTGCACTCAATTGAAGATTAACTTTTTATAGCACATTTACTAATTGAAACGTTTCCTTTGCTTTCATAAGCACATCTTTACGAGTGTGTGTGTGTGTGTGAGAGTGTGTGTGTTATAGGAAAATCTAATTCTCATTAGAACTTATGCACTTTTTACTTAAACGATTTAATGTTCTTCTCTGTGTGTGTGTGTGTGTGTGTGTGTGTGTGTGTGATATCTTTAGATATTTTGTTGTTGTTTTGCAAGCTTGTTGGTAAAATAATTAGAAAATGTTTGTTGTTATTTTGAATATTGAATGTTGCCAAAAGAAACGGTTTGCGGAAGGATGTGCGGCTCTACCAATTGGCCATGCCCGGCTTGTTGAGCGTCATGAAATAGATTTGACACGATGAAGCACCTTTGGCACTGCTGAAGAATACTTTGTCATTGCGCTCGCAAAGGAATTTCAAGCGTTGCGCCTTCTTGTGCATAAACACACCATCCAAATGGCCGCTCTCCACGGAACGTATCTATGTGACAGAAGACAAAAGTATCTGAGTTATCTTGCATTTATCTGCATAAGAGATATTCGAACGCACCTCTATTGCCTTATTGCCCCAGCCCATGATTTGTCCCGTGCCTATGTAGGCCACCGAGGTGGGCATTTCGCCCCACTGCAAAGAGATGGCACGGATTATAATATCAAATCGTTTCGAGATATTTTTAGAAATGTAATCTTGACTTGCCTGCAGCACAATATTCTTGGATACACGACCGGCAGTGTTCACATAGACGCCTTCGTTGTCATAGCAGAGAAGGAGCTGCATGCCATTTGAATTTGGAAGCGCCACAATACAATGGGGAATGATTGCACCCTGAGTCTGTGTTTGAAGATGTTTCGCATTTACTGTGTATATCCATGTATCATGATGTTGGCATGCGCCGCCACTTACATGCTTAGGAAGATATATATCGTATACTTCAGCTGAATCTAAATCAACCGCATGGAAACCCTCAGCGGAACCATAAATCACTTTCAGTCTCGACTGATCCTCAATTGTGAGATCGACCAAAAGGGGGCGATGTTCCAGTTCACCAAAATTCTAAACGAGAAACCAACATTATTTATAGATCTACTGATTCGTATATAGTTTATCGTACGCACCTTAAATGCCATAAATTTGTGATATGGTTTGGGCGCCCATGCATAAATTTCAATTGAGTCTTTTAATGCAATCACTAGGAACTTAATCCTCTCGTATTTGACAATCTTAAAATGTACAGCACCTTGTAGATCACCCACATTTATCCAGCCGTTGCGACGCTCCACTTGCTGTCGGCGGAAAGGAGAGGAAAGATTAACATTAAGACAATAAACAAAGTGCGCTAGTCGAATACGCCCGACTAGGAGATACCCTAAGCCCGTTAAGGACATTCTAGATTCCTTCTATACATTGCATACACACACGCACACTTCGATTTGCCTCATACTATCCGCATTCTTAAATAACTTCGGTGTTTGGAGTCCGATTTTCAGAGTTTAAATAGGACACTCCAGACTGTTTACATACTAAAGCCGAAGAATGTACCTTCAAAAGTTTTCGAGCAATGGATGGATCTTTATATGATATACGAGAACTATGCCAAGTGCATAGCGAGTATCTCTTTAAGTCTTGGAGTTATGATTAGAAAATTATCGTTAGGATTTATATCCGGGAAAGCAATCGTATAGATATGATATCGAGGCAAAAATTCTATTTTTAGAGAATAATATCTCTGCTTTGCGTCCAGAGCAGAGGAACAGACGGACTTAATTAAATCGATTCAGAGCAACAATATATATAGACATGTTTCCCTCAGCCAGTTGCATGCTTAAGCACAAAATCAATAAGCCGCATTTGAACGGTTGCAGGGTATAAATGAGAAGTGTTTCGATTTCTAGGCAAATCATTTGTGTCCACTCACATCGGAGAGTCCGTCGGTGCGCAAGATCTTGGACTTCAGCCAGGATAAATAATAGACACGCACGCGATTCTTTTTGCCCGATATGGTAACCAATATGTTCTGACCCTCTAGCACCTCCATTTGCTGGAAACGACGACGCGAGATCAGCTGATAGACCTGTCCACAAAAAAAAAGATTGGCTTTAGTTTAGGCTTTCAATTGGTTTAGTTGTGCCGGTTGTTACCTTGCCCTGGCCGGAACGATCGAGCAGCATGAGTCCATTCTCGGTGCCGATCAGCAAATTGACGCCCCAGAGTGCGGCGCACAGTATTTCCGAGTTGAAACGCTTCTTATACTTACGGATTTCGGGCGTATCATTGGCCGCCTCGTGCGAGGTGGGCGTCACATTTACATTGACCGTGGATTCGCGACGTGTCGGACCGGAACCGCCGGCGCCAAAGCCAAAGGTGAGAAAGCTGCGTTGTTTCTGTTGCAGCGCGTACGCATGCGGTGGCAAGTGGGCGTTCGATGTGGCGATATTGTTGTTGGCGTTGTTGGCGTTGTTGGCGTTGCCAGTGCCGGAACAGGTTGGTGACAGGTGTAGAATGTTCGCAGAAGAGGAAGAAGCAGATTTATGCAATAAATTAGTAATACTGCTGGAAGAACGCGTTTTACTAATCGAATTCTTTGGCGAATTTTGTCGCGAATTCGATGTGGACGAGGCCAGCGATATGGTTGACTGTGGTGAATTATTAGCACTAATAATTATGCCACCGACAACACTGCCGCCGCCATGACCATGGCCGCCAATGCCGACGGCGACGCCTGCAGCGCTGCTGCTGCCGCTGCCGCTGCCGCTGCTGCTGCTAGCGATAAACGATTTCGATGGCGTGGAATGCACGGATGAACTAATGGCCGCTTGATACTTTATTTGATTGATCGTTTGATTGATTGATTGATTGATTCATTTGTTTTTGTTGTTGTTGTTTTGTTCGTTTTGGTTTTTTTTTTTTTTTGTAATTAAAGAGAAAAGAAAATAGAAAAAGTGCAAGAAAAAAATTTCAATTAGTCTTCGAGTTGTCAACAAAATAAATTCATTAATAAAAATTAAACATGCTGAGGTTCAGTTGGGTAGGTGTGTGTGTGTGTGTGTGTGAGGGATTGGTTAAATATTGTGTGCTGCGTGTGCTAGCGACAATTAAAATAAAAACAATAGCCAAAAATATATACAAATATATATTGATTTGCATTATTATAAACAGAGCCGAGAAATGTTTGGAGAAAATGTTAACGATAATAAAACAAAATAAAATGTGTTTAGTCTTTCCCCAGAGGCCAATGGTAAATAAAACTTTTAAAAAAGTTTACATATTGATTTGTGTTTTTGTTTGTGTAGACATGTGTTTAAGTATGTGTGCGTGTGCGTGTGTGTGTTTGTGTGTGTGTTGAAAAACAATAAGAATGAACAGAATACAGGTTTGGTTTACAGTAATTGAGGAGCATCGCCCTCGGCGTCTGCAATGTGTACAGTGCGTTAACAGCGCGGCGGCAAACGAAATGTTAGTTACAGTGACAGTGACATGAGGCTGCCTGCTATGCAACGCAAGGTATATAAGAGAGCAAAAGAGCAAGAGAGCAAGAAACAAAGAGAGAGAGGTAGAGTGAATGCGGCCACAGTGGGCGCAGCAGTGCATTTGGCTAGCAAAAATATAACAGAAACATGTATTCACATATTATATATACACAGAGGAGACAATAACATAAAATGACATTTCTGGTGCGAAATTATACAAGTGAATATTGAGTAAATTAGAAAAAGCCCTGCACACATTTAATAATGTGTACATTAACACATGACACATTTTAAAATTTAATTAGAATTTGTTGGAAATGATAAAACTATACACAAAAGTTTGGTAGTTGTTGGGAGTTGGTATACTTTTTATATATTTTTTAATTTTTAGAAGAGTATTTTGCATTGTTGTTCGAAAACAATTGCTATTGATGATTTGGTTGTTGTTGTTGTTGTTGTTTTTCATACTTACTATTGTAAATTTTGGTTTGTTTGGTAATTGATTTGTATTTTGTAATTTGTTAGAATATATCGTAGTGGCCATCAGCTCAAACGTTGCGGAAAGACAAAGCACAATTAAGAAGAAGAAAGTTTTTGTAACGTTTTTAATCTGGTTAAATTTAAAATTCATTTGGTTTTGATTCATTTAAAAGGACATGCACTTGTAAAAAGCTGCGATTTGCATGCACATTTTATTTTATATTTTTTAATATTTCATTTTACGGAAATTGTTGACCAATTTATTGAAATGGACATTTTCGTTACGCGCTCTTCATAATGAACTTTGCTCCACGTCAAAGAAACATATTTATGCTAAGATATTCTTTTGGATTAGTCACATTTGATGGGTTAGATAATTTCGAATAGGTCAGTATAATTTTGTTTAAAGCACAAAACGAATAAAACATATAAAAAATAACTAAACTTTCTGCTACAGTAGGTTTTTTTTTAAAGAAGAGTGAATTCAAAAATTATATCTGTCATTTAATGTTATTAAAGAGAAAGAAATTCCGCAGAAAGCGAAACAATGACCCACTGTAAGAATATTTCTGTTAAGTTAACAGAATGTTAAGTGCTTGTCAAGCGAAATGGCAGTTGATTTCATGATTTCAATCAATTTGGATTGAACGACTTTTGTTATTTATTTAGAAAATACACAAAAACAAATTTGTAAACGATTAAGACAATGCATGAGTCGATTTTTAGCTTGATTTTTCTGTTGCAGAGGACAGTTAACAATCGAAGAAAAAAAAACTGAGTAGACAAATAACAATAATAATAAAACAAAAACTGGCAACTCTGAAAAACCGAGTTGTACGCACAAAACACACAATGAAATATCGAATCGACTGATAAATACGATTAAATAATGAATCATTTATCGATACTCACCTCCTCACTGGATGATTTATCGTGACGCGGAGGCGTCGCCGGCGAGGCCTGGCTGAGCAGATCGGGCAGAACGCTGCTGGTCCGGGTGCCGGGGGTGCCCAGTCCGCCGTTGTCCCCGCCGGAGCCAGTTACGGCTACGCCGCGATTCTGTCAGAGAGAAAGGAAGAGGTTGAGAGAGCGAGAGCGTGAGCGTGAGCGGGAGAGAGTAAGAGAGAGCGGTATATGCGTAAGTTTTAAATGTACGTCAAAAATTCGAAAACGAAATGAAATTAAAAACAGAAATTGTGTGGGTTATAAATGCATTTGAAAAGGTAACACAACAAAAACAAAATGTAATGAATAAACAACAAATCGAAAGAGTCAAAGAGCAAGAGAGCGACAGACAGAGGAGAGAGAGAGAGAGAGAGAGGGAGAGGGAGACACGAGAGTAAGCAAAATGAATGCCAATGAGATACTGAGACGCCTACAAAATGTTCTCTTCAACAACTTTTCAACTTTTCGACCTTTCAACTTTTCAACTTTTAACACTAAAAAGCTTACGAGCTAAAACATTTGATTACGTCTTCAAAATTGTTTTAAAGCTAGCACTTTTACACATAAAAGGCACTTAAAATTAGTTTAGTTTAGCGCAACTTTCTCTGTAGGTGGGTGAGGGTGAAGGGGGGGGGGGTAAGCTGCACAGGCCTCGGGCAGCAGGCAAAACGTTGCTCAATTTGCACCAAAAAATTTGCGTCTGCTGCTTCTAAAATTTCATTAACAATTTCAATTAAGTGCAAACCAAACCAAGAAAACTTTTTTTTTTGTTTGGAAAACTTTATCCAAATAATACGTAAAGCTTTAAAACAATTTTGAGCAAATGCATGAATTTTGGCAAAAGCTAAGCAGCAAATAGTTTAGCTCTGATAAAAGCAAAAGTTAGCTCCGATAAAGTCCTGATTATGATGGCATATAGATAAAATCTGCAAATATTCCAGCTTTTAGTTCCATAGATTTAAGATTTACTTTAAGTTCTGTTTAGATTTAGGATTTACTTTAAGTTTTGTTTAGAATAATTAACAAAATAGATGTTGAAAAGAAGTATTTATAAAAATATATTGGAAAATACTTTTTAGTCTTATCGAACTTTTCTTTTTTACTTTCAGCTCAGTTTCTACACAATCCCCAAAATTCTAGCACTAACATTTCTCAAACATTTCTCATGCTAAAACTTGAGCATATGATAAATCCATGAGATAATGACATTATTTACACGATAAGGTACTTAAAAGCTTAAGAGTTAGGCCTGCCAAAATTTAAAGCTAAATAGTTTTTTTTTTTTGTATTTTAGCATCTCATTAGCATTCGATACTTTTGTTCGTTTTTTATGGCATGGTAATATTATATACATATACGATAGTAGTTTACCGTTATTTGACCGTCTACTTAATGCATATTATTATTATGTTATAAATCAAGCAATTAAATATCCATACAGCCCTATAAATGGTATATAAAATGACTCTTACATACAAAATTGTTTAATGTTAGGTGAAGTTTACGTTTCCAATTAGAATTAGGTGTTCGTTCTGATTAGAAAACAAATGCAAATGCAATAAAAATTAAAAAAACACATGCTGGGGAAGTTCAAAGCAAGGCAGAAAACAAACAAAAAATCAATGTTTATAAATAATAACTAAAACGGTAAAAAATGTTTAATTTTAAAGACTGTTTTTTCTGTCTAGTTTTTATGCATAGTCTCTGTTATTTACGAGCTGTTAGTGCAATGTTATTAACAGTATGCGGCTGCTACATGGGCAATGGCAGGTAAGAGAGCGAGCAACAGAGAGATGTGGGGTATGAGTTGTGAGACAGAGGTGGAGAGAGAGAGAGCAAGAATGATGCGTATGTGTGTGCGTGTGTGTTTGTGTTGCGGTGAGTATCGGAATTCTAGCCAAATGGTAAATTTTATTTGCATTACGCTTGGTATTTTGTTGTTGTTGTTGTTTTCTTGATTTGTTTTCAAGTAGTTTGGTTTGGTTTACGTTTCTGGCGCCAAGACAAAACACAATAATGAACGATATATTTGAATTGTTTTTCATCTGCTGTTGTTTTTTTTTTTTAATGCGTGCGTGCTGAGAACGTTTACCTGCTGCTGCTGCTGCTGATGTTGTTGTTGCTGTTGTTGTTGTTGTTGTTGCTGCTGCTGCTGCGCACGCGCCGCTGCATTGTGCAGCACAATGACAGACTCAGTCTTTTCGCGACGCGGACGCAGAAAATCTAAATTGGCCCAACTGGACTTGGTCGGCGCTGCGACGCCAGCTGCTGCGCCGCCTGCTGCTGCTGTTTTTGTAGTTGTCTTGCTGGCAGTGGACGTCGCTTTGGTCTTATTAGCAGCAGCAGTAGTAGTAGCAGAAGCAGCAGCAGCTGCGACTGCGGCTGCGCTGCTCTCCTTGCTGCCGCTGCTACTGTTGTAAATGCTGTTCCTTTGGTACATGGCACTGGCGCGCTGCGCTTGCACTAGCTGCGGCGACTGCAGCTGAGCATTGTTGCCGCTGCTGCTGCTGGCAGAAGTGCCGCCGCCGCCGCCGCCGCCGCCGCCGCTGAGCACCGCCGAGTGTCGCTTCGTTAACGGGAAAAAGTCTGAATTCTCGCGTCGAAAGCCGCGCACAAAGCTCGGCAACTTGGAGTCGGATTCCTGGCGCTTGTGCTGCTGCGGCTGCGTTGAGTTGTTGCTGCTGCTGCTGCGCTCTTTGGCAATGCTGACGCCAGTCGACGAACTGGCGCCTTTAAGCGGCTGAAAGCCTTTGGGCACGGGCCGTGCTATCGGCTCGGCGACGCTGGCGCGCTGCAGCTTCGCCTCCACCTTCAGCGTGCTCAAAAACGAGCTGCGACTGAGGCTGGCTGTGCTGCTACTGCCGCTGCCGCTGCTGCTGCTAGCGCCGCCGCCGCCGCCGCCGCCGCCGTTTACTTTCTTGGAAACGAATTTATCTAAGTCCCAATCGCGTAAAAGCTTCGCGTCTTCAGCTCGCTTTGGCGCATGCGATGTGGATGCCGATTTTTGTAAGCGGTTTATGTTTTGTTCTAATTTCTGTTTACAGTTGTTGTCGTTGTTGTTGTTGTGAGTAGTAGCGCAAGAGAAGAATTGTTGTTAGGTTTTTTGTTTGCTTGCATTTTACAGTTCTACAGGCTAAATTGTTGTTTTTTTTTTTAATACTTTATTTTGGCTATCTGCACCCAGGTATGGAAAAAAAACCGCATGGAAAGTTTTTCATGAATTCTCTCATTGCATTGCATTCCATATACACACATACATACGTGTATGTACATATGTATGCGTGTGCGTCATATTGATATCATTTGGGCTATTTGTATTGGTGTTTGCTTGGTGCAGAGGAAAGAGTGGGGGAAGGGGCGGGGTTTGGGGCTGTGGATAATGCACATTGTGGTGCAAAAGGTGTTTAATTATGTATATAAACAAAAGATCATAACATATCATATCAAGTGCCATATGACATGAAACCAATCGGATGCACTTTCTTGCCTTGAATATATCTCTATATATATATTACAATACATATACATATGTATGTATGTATGCATGAAAGTAAGTATTTAGAGCTGGAAAACTATCTTAATGCAGAAAAAACAACTATAAGGAATTAATGTCGATCGATATCGTAATGTAAATATTATCGATATATCTAACAATTGTTATCGATAAATCGATAATCGATCGTATATGTCAATATATGTATCGATAAATCAGCACTACGATATGTTATCGAAAATGCACAACTATAGCGCGATAAGTTATCGATAAATGACCATTAATGCGATATATTATCGAAAAAGCACATATAGAGCGATAACTGATCGATTATCCATAAATTATCGATCATTTTCGTAACTTTTTTCATATAATATATATTTATTATAATTCTCTCTAATTTTTAAAGCGCCTTTGTTGAATTTCTCATTGCGATTAGTTGTCCAGCTCTTAACAATATGAATTGTGCCCGTGTAAACATTCTATGCACCAGTGCAGTTCACTTTTATACACAATACTCAGGAGAAACATTCGAAATTCATATGAAAAAATTTAAAGAAAAAATGAAAAAGAAATATATAAAATGCCACAGACTGGGGCTAAAAAATGATATATATAGTTGTGGAATACTCATAAAAACTTTGTACAAAAGAAATTCACGAAAAAAATTTGCATACCATGTGTGTTTTTTTTTTTAAGTAATATACTAATCAAAATAAATAAATGTGTATTTAGTATTATGTAATAAGTTTGTAATTTTAAACTAAACTCAAAGGAACTCGTTCTTCAAATCGTTTGGTTAAAGGAGTTAAATTAAAATAGTTGCTGCAAAAAGTTGTCTAAATAGAACCACAACCATCCAAACTTTAGTTGTTGTCGTTTTTTAATTGAATATTATTAATATATATGTATAGGGTTTTATATAGTATTTGTTTTCGTTCACAGACCTTGAACCCTATGAAAAAGCTAATTACAATTTGTACAGCTGCCTAAGAACCTGCAACTCTAAATTCTTCGCAACGTATCTCAGTAGAAACGGAAAATTGAACTAAAAGCTAAACTAAAAGAAAACATACTAAAAGAAACTAGACAAGTTCTAGATAATTAGATTAAAGACTCGGATGATATATATTTATATATATATATATATATGTATATAATATATTGGATGGCAGCTACTTACGCGCTTCATGATCAGCGTACGATCTCCGGCCTGATCGTCGTCGTCCGGTGTCGGTGGCAAGGGTCGATTCGGGGGTCCGCCGCTGCCGTGGGTCAGCGGTGTGGTCGTTGTTGTTGTTGTGTCCTCGGAGACGGGTCCCAGGCCGGGCCTATATGAAAATTCGGGTCTGAACATAACCAAAACAAAAGAAGGAAACCCAAAACAAAAAAAAACAACAAAAAACACAAAACGCAAAAAAACGGGGGCGGCAAATAATTGAACAGAATATGAGGATGTGGAGAGTGAGGAGATGCGTGTTTCGGTTTGAATTTTTAAATAACAAATAATTGGTGAGGGAGACAAAGTTAAGAATGCTGTGAATTGATTGAAGTTGCAAACAAGTTCTACAAAAGTATTGCTTAGCTTTCCAAACGGTTCCATTTACATTTCGCGTACATTTTATAATATCCGAAATAAATCAATTCGTTTTGGTATTCGCTCGCTGGAAAATCTCGAAAACAAGTCGGTAGAACATTTACTGGCATCTCTCAAATGATTTTAAGTGTTGGGTTCTTTCAATTTAAAATACTTGGAAACAGTGTTGGAAAACCTTAAGTTTGATTTCGCAAACTATTTGGCAACAGTGTTGGAAAACTCTAAATTGTATTAAGCCACATTTAAGGTGTTCTCCTATGACACTCCTTCCATTTTTGTTTACCCATTTTAAAGCTGAAAGTAAGCTTAGTTGTAAAACTATTCTAAATTCTTGAGAACAGTGTTGGAAACCACAAAAGTTTTTCTTGTGTTGGAGCATTAAACAAAATGTTCAGAGTTGCCATAAAATCTTTAAATGGAATCTGCATTTATAAATGTAGTCGGGCTTTAGAGTATTTGTTGATGACTCGAAAATTATAAGATCTTTGAATTAACGAGTATTTCGATAGGAATTTTCGAACCTATTAAGAAAACTATGATTAGTATGGCTGGAGGAACTAAAAAAAGCAACTATTCGATTCGTGGCCTATTCTTAGAAGTTCTATTAAGTATTTAAGGCTTAAATAGCTCAACGGTGCGCCCATAAATAACTCTAAAAAACAGAAATAGAACCAAGTTCTAACTAATCCCAAAATATATATGTATATATATGAGGTATATAACACGTGCTGTGCGCGATTTGCAATTAATATTTATGTGGAACATTTTGTTGCATTGCAAATTGTTGCCACGCCTTACGTTTTGTGCTTTGAAAAGGGGGCAGGGGCAGGGGTGTGTACTTACAACGGCTTGGGCGGATCGCTGGCCAGAAGCGTGCCATCGTTGCGTGCCCGATCGTTGGGCTCATCCGGTTCGCTGTCCGAGTCGCTGCTATCGAGCGGATCCAGGGGATTGACGGGCTGTCCCAGATGATTGTTCGCCTGCTGTGGCAATGCAGCCGCCGGCTTCGAAGCGGACGAGGATGAGGCCGAGACACAGATGGCCCCGTTGCCGGCGGATGCGCCCGATTGTCGATTGCTGCGCGGCGGCGCCTCCGGCTGTGCCTGCTGCTGCAATTGTCCACCGCCTGCTGCTGTCTGTGGCTGCGGCTGTTGGGAGGAGACCACGCCCAATTCATTTAATTGTGCTGCTAACACATCCAAATGATCCTACAGGTATTTGATTTTTTTTTTTTCATATTTTACAAAAGATTTCGGGTCAAGTTTTCGAATGCACACGGAGGATTTTTGTGTGTTGTGTTGTGTTGTGTTGTGTAGTGAAGTGTGTGTGTGTTGTGTGTGTGTGTGTTGCACGTGGTACCACAGTATGTTGTTGTTGTTGTTGTTGTAGTTGTAGTTGTTGTTTCGGGGGGCAAATGCGTTTGTTTTTGGGGTGGAACGAAAAGTAAGAGAGCATTAGACTGGTTTACACCTTTCACTTCTTATATAGATAAACAAACAAACAGGGCCAAACATTAGAGAAAGCTCGGTTAGTTTTTTTATCTATGAAACTTGCCGGGGTTAGTCTTAAATATATATATATTTATATATATAGATAAATATCTATTTATATATTTAATTTTTTTTTTTGGCATTACAAACGCATCAATCAAAATTAACTCTTCTATTTATAGAACCTCGTTTACTTTTTTGGTATTAGTTGCATTTGGAAATGGAAAGTGTTCTCTTTGCTTTGGGTATTGTTTTACTGTGGATTAGTGGGCACGTGCAGGGGCGTAGGAAAGGGGGGGGGGGGTTGGTATATGATAGTATTTTAGTGTTACGTAAGCGCTTTTACAGTATTTCTTTTTTTTTTTTAGGCTGTGGCTTTGTGTACCTCCAAAAAGTTGTAAATTTTGTTTCAGAATTTTGACAGGTCTTTCAAAAAAAAAACGGGGGGTAGTTTACATATAGACATACATATATATGGTATATGGTAAAACAAGCATAAAATGCACAAATCAAAGAGTGTGTGAGAGAGAGAGAGAGAGAGAGAGAGAGAGAAAAGGAGGAGCGAGCGAGCAGGCTACAACTGAAAAATACTGAAAATGATAAAACATACCTCAGGTCTCCTTGGTGGTAACTGTTTTATGATTGTCGTGTGTATTTAGTATTTATAGTATTTTAACGGTATTTTTTGTGTGTGTTATTTTAATCGAATTTATACGTTATATATATATATATGACGAAACGGGTTGATGTACGCATAATACAGAGAGAGGCACACACACACATGAGCGAAATCATAAGGTCGATATTATATATAGTTTATATAGATTATATATGTTATGGTAGGCGCACAAAACATGAAAATAAAAGAAGTTGAAAAATCATATCATAATTACAAATACAATACAATACGTTCCGGTTTTACAGGGGTAAATTATAAATGAGCTGAGCTGTCTGAGCGGGCGGTGAGGGGTGTTGGCATTTAGTAACTAACTAGCAGTAGCGCAAAAGGGAAGGGGGGCGGGGCGTAGCTATATAACCGACTATTGGAAAAGGGGGGCTTAAATATTCAAACTTCAACACGAAAATAATTGGAAAACAATTGCGATTTCCTGAGCCCAAATAAATTTTTATAAACGTATTTCACACTTTTCAGCAAATTCACCTGCTTGAGTGTAAATGGGGTTACGCATGCTACACCCAACGTTTCCATTAAATGCTTGGCCCTGGTCCTGCCGGTTAACTCTTGCTAAACTTTCATTTCATTTCATAATACTCCTGATCTTCCCATTGAATATGATAAAAAGAATTACTTTGCTCTGATAAAACCGGTGAGTTCTCGTTATTCTTGCTACTCCTGACCTTTTGAACTATAAAGCAAATTACTTGACCCGGGCAAGGCCGTTCTATACTCGAATTAACACATATACATGTCTTTCCACTCCTGATCTTTCCATTGAAGATTACGCCCGGGGTTAAGCTAATCTTTTATATCATTTCATTCTACTCCTGACAATTTCGACTAACCGGGCAAAGCCGGTTAATACTTGCTAATCATAACATACTTCATGCTATGCCCGAACTTTCCACTTCCGTTTGCCTAAGCAGAACTCAGCTAAAGCTTTTGATATCGCGGACGGCCCTTTACTATTTCCAATCGCTAAAAGTCGTTGCCCTGGGAAATGCATTGGATTTCCCCCACCCGTCTTATCAGGCACTGACTGGGTCGTAATCTCGGTATATTGTGAATACGCACCGATGGCTTGAAATTGTTCTGTGAGCTGCGCTGCTGCTGCTGCTGTTGTGGCGGCGTTTGAGCCACTGGCTCGCCGCACTTGGGTGTCGGTGGCAATGGCCGATTGGCGTGCGGTGGATCTGGCACCACAATCAGACGCTGCGGCAATTGTGGCCGTGCCGGCGGACCCGGCTCCTCGATTTGCTGGCGCTGCAAAACGATGTTAAACAAATTAGCCGAAAATAATTCCAATTGGAATCTGAGTGTGGATGGCACTAACCGATGGTGGTTTCTGTTGGCGATTGGCCTGCGGCTGTTGGGCCTGCGCCTGTTGCTGCTGCTGCTGCTGTTGGGCCACCTGCGCCTGTTGGGCTGCATGGGCCGCAGCGGCGGCTGCGGCCGCCGCCTGCTGTTGCTGCTGATGCAGCTGCGCCTGGGCGGCGGCATGCGCGGCAGCGGCCTGTGCCTGCGCCTGGGCGAGCAGCTGATGGTGCTGCTGTTGCTGTTCGGCGGCTAGGCGTCCCTCCTGGATTTGCTGGAAATTGCGACGCAATGTATCGCCGCCGGGCGCCTGTATGATGGAGCTGGGCTCGCCGGCCAGCTGGGGCTCATCGTCATCGTTGTCGGAGCCGGAGTAGCGATAATCTTCGCGCTCCTTCTCCTGCTTGCGTTTCTTGCAGCGATCGATGTGATCCTTGAGCTGTATGCGCACCTGCCGATCCGTCGGCTGATCCTTAATGAATGCATGCTTCAGCAGATTCTCGGTGTAAGGCCGCTGGTGATAGTCCTTCACTGTTAAATTAAATGCATATGTTTATATATATTTACTTTCCATTATTTGTAGTCATTTACCTAGCACCGTGTCAATGAAGCCGTGAAACTTCTTGGACCATTTCTTGGATTTGAGACGCGGCGGCGAATTGCGCGGTATTAAGAAAAGTGCACGCATCGGATGCAAATCGCAGAGCGGCGGCTGTGACTCAGCCATTTCCAGTGCCGTAATGCCCAGAGACCACAAATCCGAGCGATTGTCGTACGTGGCTTCGGGATTCTCATCACAGGCAATGACCTCTGGCGCCATCCAATAGGGTGTACCTATAAGACACAAGTGGAACCAGTTAAACGACCTGGCCATGAGTCACAATAACGTTTTGACTTACCAATGAACGTGTTGCGTCTGCCTATCGTGCGATCCAGCTGCGCGGAGACACCAAAATCGACAAGCTTAACCTCGGCATTGTCGGTGAGCAGCACATTCTGGCCCTTGATGTCGCGATGGATGACTTTGTTCGAATGCAAATAGCTGAGGCCGCGCAAAATTTCACGGCAAATGTATGCGATCCATTCCTCCTTGAGGCTCTGACCCTTGGTCGACTTGACCAGATCGGTAACGGAACCAGCACCACAATATTCCATAACCAGCCAGAGTTGATCGTCTTTGCCGGGTGGCGATTTTTTAATGAATGCACCATAATAGGTGGCAATGTTGCGATGATTTGAGTATTTCTTAAGCACATTGATTTCCAGCTTTATTTCCTCCTCCTCGTCCTCGGTGACGTCCATCACCTTTATGGCAGCCAACTGACCAGTTTTTGTATGACGGCCCTGTAGAGAGATAGAGTATAACACATTAGTTGCGAATTGTGAAATCATTTTTATATTCATTTTTATCAGTTTACAACCCGAACTGGGGAAAATGCGGCCTTGGCGCGTTCTCGCATAGACACTTGAACTCGACTCGCTGCTAACTTGACAACAGCGCGAATTCGCGGCGACCATGGGCGAAGGCGTTGACGACAACGTCAATAAACTGCGTCACCAAATAATAATAATAATAAAATAACGTGCTGCGTGTAAATAACATTTAAATGCACTTTAAACAACAAAACAGGAAGAGTTCTCCATATGCCTGACATTGGATACTTGTAAAGTATTTAATAATAATTCTGATGCATAACTTTCTGTTTGTTGCAAGAGTTAAAGATTGATATAATATAAAATTCCAAGAAGCAGCATCTAAAACTCAAAGTATCTTAATTAAGGCAGCACCCAAATATCCCTGAATATTTTTTAAAACAGTTTTTGAAAAACAAAAATTTTCTCATACAAGAAACTCATTTTACACCGATCGTTCCTATGCGAGCTATATGATATAGTGGTCCGATGTAGCTAAGATTTTGCATAAATGTAGGAAGCATAGTGAAACCTATAAATGCCGAGTTTGGGTCAAGATATCTGGAAAAACAAAAAAGTTTTCCATACAACACCTTTATTTTCGACCGCTCGTTTCTATGGCAGCTAAATGATATAGTGGTCCGATGTTGATAGGATTTCGCATATGTATGAGGAGCATAGTGAAATTAATAAAAGTCGAGCTTGGTCAAGATATCTCGAAAAACAAAAAAATTTTGCATACAAGAACCTACTTTTCGATCGATTGTTACTTAAACTTAAACATAATTTATAGATCCTAATATGCAAATTTCCAAATATACTGCTAATCGAGACAAGTTCTTATAACAATTGACAGACTCGTTAGGCTTTGGTTGTAATTGAAAAATAACGTGAGTTGAAAACTGTTTATGCTCCCAGTCAAGACGAGTCGCATCGCATCGCATCAGTAAGTCAATCAAGGCGTAAAAATGTATTTCAATTAGCTGTCGCTTTAATCAGAGTCATAAATTGATTTGCCGTTTAAGATTGAGATGTCCTCCGACCGGTTTAAGTCCGCTTCGCTCTTGGCCAGAAGGAGCAGGAATCTATTTTTTCTTTTTTTTGCTGTTAAGAGGTTTAAAAGTCATTTTGCATTTAATACAGTTTTAATTGAAGAGCAGAGAGCTGCAGTCGAGATGCCTCATAATAAATCAAGTGACTAACGAGAGTTGATAACAATTTAACAGGCAGGCAGGCAGGCAGGCAGGCAGAAGAAGAAGCAGGCGAGTTAGTTATGAGGCGGATGAAAGGGAGTAGAAGAAGAGGCAGCTGAAGCTGTTGATAGTTGGTTTTTATTGATTAGCCAGCGGGGCGTTGCGTTAGCTACCATCAAAATGCTATTAAGCAACAAATTTTTCATCGCAGATTTTTCCCATATATATATATATATATATATATATATGCTAACGGTCCGGCGGATCGCTGTGGAAAATCGTTGCAAATTAATGACATGCACTAATGGAGTTGGAAAACTGTCCAAGAGAAAATCGATTCGGTTATGGTGCCGTGCCGCAGCTAAGAGGCAGGTGCAACCAGTTTATGGCACATCGCGTATCCAGTTGCCGCCAATTGGCATTAACTGGCCGCCAGCGAGAGTTCAAGCGAATTTCAAGTCCAGCGTTTGTCGCAATCGAAATGCCAGAATACGAAGAAAACAAATGATTTGTGAGTCAGTCGCAAATAGAGCTAAACAATCGAAACAAATAAATAAACAAAACAAATCGAAAGCCTTTGCCTTTGCCTTCTAAGAGAGCTCGCACAGAAACTGCTGAATACGTCAAATAATTAAATATATGATGAAAACCAAAACCGAAACCAAAGCCAAAACCAAAACGAGTGTAAAATTGTTTTAAAGGTAAAGTCAACAATGGATTCAAGACGTGCATCGCAGCTGTCGCCATTTGCCTACCTATGCAGAAGTTATTTTTTTTTTGTTTTTCACTCTTCTCTGTCTTTTCTCATTTGACGTTTCAGTATTCAGTTTCAGTACAAGTATCTGCCAGATACATAATGCTCAATGCCCAGGGTGTCGAAAAAAGAAGAAGTTATATGCTAAAATCAACAAACACAATAAACTTAATGAAAAATGCAATGGAGAGCGAAAAAAAAACACGCACATTGCACATTTTCGTGTAAGCAGATACAGATACAGATACATTTGCAGGCGCAGCTACAGATACAGATACATTTGCAGGCGCAGCTACAGATACAGATACAAATACAGTTACGAGCTATATATATATATATATGTATATAGAACTGCATAATCAGACAATTACGTGTTGTCATAACGTGATTTTGTATGGCATTTGGCGGCTTCTACGAGCTCTTCTTCTTCTGCCTCTCTCCATGAACAACTTCCTCCATGTAATTAAGTCTCTGAAATACTTTGTTGCCCCTATCCCTCCCCCTGTCCTACCCAAACCGCCACACGTCTTGTTCTGCAGCCTCGGGAATATATGCAACAAGTCAACAAAGCGCAAAAATAATTGTTGCCGTACACAGAAAGAAAACAAGGCAAAACAAAACAAAACAATATAATATAAATATTTATGAATTGCTTTAAATACTCTTAAATAAATATAAATATATTCAACTGGTTGTTTTTTTTTTTAAATAAAATTCCAGCTGTTTACATATGACAAAATATTTACCTTAAATAAAGAAAATAAAACTTAAAACAAAACATTAAAAAAAAAAAGAAGATATATATGAATTGTCGGCTTAAAACTTATTTCCAAATGAGCGAATTACTTTTGGGCTGAAAATCTTATAAATTCTAAGCTTTTTGCGGGAAACGCCGGGTAATATTCGCGTAAATTTAAATATGATTTGCATTCAAATCAAAGCACATTTCATTTATTTTATATGCAACCTTTTTTTTGTCAAAAACTCTTACACTTATTCAGCACACCCCATTGCTGCTAAATTACAGGGTATTTAGCAAACGTCGCTGACATTCACAAGCATTTGTTTTGCGTGTTCTGATAACGCGACCCTTGCACAAAAATATGAGAAAGACAGCAAAAATGAAAAGCAACAAGAAACTTGATAAAGCTCAGAACGACATTCCCCTCTGTACAAGTCCACCCCCCCCCCTCTCCAATCGCCCCTGTAATTCTTGGAATTACTCAACTTGCGTCACATAGTAAAATGACTAAAAAGATTAATTCGAACATATTCGAGTTGAAGACAAGTTCAGGTTAACTATGCAAAACGCCAGAGAGAGAGAGAGAGAGAGAGAGAGAGAGAGAGAGAGAGAGAGAGAGAGAGAGAGAGAGAGAGAGAGAGATAGAGAATAATTGGGAAAAACGGAAAACAGCTGGCTAAAAGCAAGAAGAAGAAGCAGCAGGAAAAAGTGGGGAAATGTGTGTTTCCGATAAGCAAAGTGAATTAAAGTTAAGTGAATTTTGTGTAAATTGAGTAAATAGAATATGGAAATGGAAATCAATTTGAAAGGTGGAGAAAAGGCGGCGGGTCAATGGGTGAAGCATGATAAAATATCAAGAAAATAAAGTTAGAAGGATGGTTGCATGAATAGATAAGTATATAGATGATGGAGAAATGTAGTTAAGTAGATAGATGGATGGATAGAATATAGAGAGATAGATAGACAGCAGATAGATAGATGGATATACAGAGATATATAGATAGACACATAGATAGATAGATGGATGGATAGATAGATAGATGGATGGACAGATTGTTATATAGATGGATGGATAGATACATAAGAGTAATAGATAGATATATAGATCCACAGTAAAAAATATGTATAGATATTTGGATAGATAGGACTGCGATGAGCAATAGATAGATAGTTAGATAGTGTTAGAGAAAGAGACACAAGTATAAAAGAAACTATACCCAGGGGAAATGCCTTTGATAAAGACGAGAAAGTTTTATGGCTGCATGTATATATGTGCCATCAAAAGATTTGATAGAATATTATTTAAATAATTGCCTCGTTTACAATATGAATGATAAAACTGATAAAGCAATGAATAACACATTTTAAAGCTGTCAACATTTAAAGTTAATATCTAAATATGAATATAAATTGGGAAACTTTTGGTAAAATTGTAAAGACAACGACGACGGCGCATTCACATGCAGATCTTATACGATCTATCTATCTATATACATATATATAATATGTGGAGATGATTTTCATGTGTGTCTGTATGTTGGGTTAACAATGCGTGTTGGGTAACTGAGAAGGCAGCTGCCGGCATTAGATCAAAGCAGCAACCACAGCGGCATACTCCACTTCACTTCACGCCACACACACGCACACTCGCACACCTCAGACTGAAAACTGAGCGCCTGCAACTGCAGCCATTTGCCCATTGAGCTTGCATATTAAATTTGCGGCGCTGGCAACAACAATGCACACAGATATATATATAAATATATATGTGTGTGTGTATATATACTTCTTTATATAGAAAACTTGGATCTGTTTGTGGACTCAGTCGCACAGCGGCAGCAGCAAACGTTGGGAAAACCACAATACAATTTACAGCACTTGCTGAGGTATAAGTGGTAGCAGCATCCCTCCCCCTCTACCCTACCCTACCCTACCTACCACCAAAGCGACCTGAAACCACGCAACACGCCCCGTGCGATGCGTCAAGTGGTTGCCTCTGCTCGATTGGTTGCTGCTGCTGCTGCAATTGCTTGGCCAACTGGCCCAGAGACGACTTAGCTGGCAATCTGTGGCAGCTGCTGCGTTTGGCAACATTGCGCAAGCTTTTAACGAAGCACCCCTCAGCCACCCCTCTACAAACCAAATCAACAATCGTGTGCAAATTTGTTGTGGCTCCAAATTCCAAACAAATAAGAACTCAAGTCAAGTGGGGCATGCACGACTATCAAATGCCCTGCTGTTT